GGGAGGTTGGGAGATGGTGCGGAGGATGGAGATGAAGATGGGGCAGGGGAGCGGTGGACGAGGGCTATTTATCGGTGTTTGGGCGGCGTGGGCACGATGCATGGCGAAGTCCAGGGACGCACACGCCCAGATCTGGGGACAGACGGGGTGACGGGCTACCCGGGGCACTGGGATGTGGGGAAGAGAACACTTCCATGGGGTGGCTGCAGCACCAAAGGCGCCCGTCGCAGCTGGCGCCCCTGTCGCTCGGCGCTCGCCCGGCTGCCAAGTGCCGCTGGATGAATCTTTACGCATTCCCCGCGCCGCCGCCGCCGCCGACACCACTCGGTGCCCATGAGCCGCTGCCGCCCTGCGAGCATTGGAGATCCTAACGTAAGCCGCATTGCCCTGCACCACAGCTGCCGCCCTTTGGCCGCAACTGCGGGGAGTCTCTACTCGCGTAAAGCTGTCTAGTGCGGCGCCGGCGGGCCGGCTCTTTTCTCTTCCATCTACTCTATAGATTTCAGTCCGCTCTATCCCAAGTTTCCACCACAACGCCTTTGCCAGACACACTTCTCCAGTCACCCCCACCAGCCACAATGACCGTCACCACCCCGGCCCCGACTCGCGAGCGCTTTGGCTATCTCTTCGGCCACCCAATCGCCCACTCCATGTCCCCGTTGCTGCACCAGACCGTGTACGACGGCATCGGCCTGAACTGGGAGCAGGAGATGCTCGACTCCACAGACATGCAGGACTTTCTCGAGCGGATAAAAGACCCGCGGTTCTACGGTAAGCCCGGTCCTCCCTCGCCCCGCAGCAGCAGCCCCCCAGTGATGCTCAGACTCTTCTCTCCCTCCAGGCGCCGCCGTGACCATGCCGCACAAAGTCGCCATCCTCAAGCACGTCGACGCCCTCACCGACGAAGGCCGCGAAGTCGGCGCGTGCAACACGCTCTTCTTCCAGCACGACCCGCACACCGGCGCCCGCGTCCTCACCGGCACCAACACCGACGTCGTCGGCATCCGCGACGCCTTCTACCACAACGTGCGCGTCCCGGACGCGACCTTCCACGGCCGGCCGGCGCTGGTCGTGGGCGGCGGCGGCGCCGCGCGCTCCGCCGTCTACGCCCTGCGCAAGTGGATGCGCGCCACCGACATCTACATCGTGAACCGCGACGAGGCCGAGGTGCGCGCCGTCGTCGACGAGTGCGTCGCCCGCGGCTTCGGCGACGGCCTCGTGCACGTGCGCGACGTCGAGCAGGCGCGCGCCCTCGAGGGTCCCGGCGCCGTCGTCAGCTGCGTGCCCGATTTCCCGCCGCGGACCGAGAAGGAGGTCGTCGCGCGCTTGGTGCTGGAGGAGCTGCTCTCGAAGCCGCACAAGGGCGCCGTGTTGGAGATGTGCTACCATCCCAGTCCGTGGACCGCGATTGCGGAGGTGGCCGAGGGGAAGGGTTGGGAAGTCATTTTGGGGACCGAGGCGATGATATATCAGGGGCTGGAGCAGGTATGTTTGTGCTTTTTCCTCTGCGAGCGAGTCGGGAGCACGCCCCGTCTTGCCTTGATGTGGTGGGGGTGGCTTTCCAGAGGCGTCTTCCTCTTATCTCCGAAGTCATCCTCTCCTCCTTTCCCCGGATTTGCACTTTTCCCCCAGACGCCACAACACCAGACGGCTGACCTTCCCTGCAACAGGATAAGTACTGGACCGGCAAGGAAGTTTCCGAGCTGCCGGTGGAGAAGGTCAAGGCGGTCATCGCTGCCAAGTTGGCCGAGTCGAGCAAGTCGGCAAGCGGCCATCCAGCCACCAATGGCCATTCGAATGGCACCAACGGCGCCAATGGTCAGGCCCACTAAGGTTGCTATAAGGGCCGTTTACTGTGTAGCAGGGTGGAGATGAATTGGCGCTAGTGAGGTTTTTGCTGGTGGAGCCGGGTCTGTCTGGTAGGGGCGCAATGCGGCGAGGCAGGCGTCAGCCGAGACCAGCCTGGTCGTTAGGCCCGGCGGTATTGGCTGTAGATGCGGAGCATCTGGACTCGTTTGGGCTGTTGCCGCCGCCGGCTGGGCAGCTACCTTGGGAAAAGGGGGAGGGTGGCGCTCTTGTCCTGGTCATCGAGGAAGAGGCAGCCTGAACATTTGTTGCCATGACAAAAAGGCAACACCATGATGACGGAATTTTTTTTAATCGGAATAGATAGCGTGTGTTTGAATAGGGATCGTACTTCTTTCTACGAACGGCGGGTCGTACCAGCGAAGTGTTGGCGTTGCCACTCCTCACGCACCAGGCCTAGTGTAGTCCAGATGCCGTACTCTACGCCAAACTTCCCTGATAGTGCGCTCCTGACCCTCTCTACCGCTTTCGCCGCTCTCGGAGGGTCCGGCAGGACTAGACGATTCTACGCGTCAGCAATCTGTGACCTCGCGGCGACTTTTCCGCGCTCTCGCGGACCATTTTTCCAGCAGCAGGGCTTGAGTGCACGTGGCCCATTCAAGGCAACCCCCGACAAAGCCAAGGAACACCCAAGGCAATCCGTAACGGATAAACCTTTACACTCGGGTAGCGCACAGCACGAACCACCCTTGCTGTCGGAGGTTCCCAGGCCTCTTCCATCTCCACGGCACCAAGAAAAACGCCACGAGATAGCGGAAGCAGTCTTTGGATATCTCAAGACCAATGAAGAACAACTTACCGGATCGCAAGGTACAGCCTCGAGCCGAGCTTGACATGCTCGATGGTCGCGGTTGCTGGGTCTTCGGGCGGGTTGGCGGTGGTGACGAGTCCACCGGCTTCTTGCAGAATACAAATGCCGGCGGCGACATCCCATTCCCAACATCCGCCTTCCCACCATATGTCGAACGAGCCCATGGCTGTGTAGGCGAGATCGAGCGTGGCACTATGGTTTGGGTTTGTGTTAGCGGCGTGGGTGTCTTTAGCCACTCCGTGAACCTTCCCGCTCGTCCCTCCTTTCCCATCCACTGAGTTTTTCTTCTTTTCTCCGTCTCTGAACAATGACAGCTACATCCCCCATGACGGAAAGAAAAAAAAGACTTCTGCTTACCTTCCCAGACTACGCACACCGTGAACCATCCCACCCTTCCCTCCTCTTCCACCAACCTCGGCTGCCATGTTCACGAAGCTTTCAATCTTCCTGTGCATGTTCCCATCCGGGGTGTCCCGGCGGTCCTTGCCCCATTCGCAACTGAAGACGCAACCCGAAGGGGCCTTGGCGGGCATGGGGGCAATGGGGTTGCGGATGAGGGGAAGCTGCTGGGTGTCGTTGAGCCAGGCGCCGCGGCCGCGGCATGCGGTGAAGAGCTGGTTGAGAAAGGGGGCGTAGATGACGCCGATGGTCGGGACGTGCTTGTGGACGAAGGCGATGGAGACGCAGAACATGGGGAAGAGGTGGATGTAGTTTACCGTGCCTGTGGGGCCAAAGGATAAGTGACATGCATGGAATGATGGGCGCGAGCGGGGCGGGAAGGACGCACCGTCGAGCGGGTCGACAATCCATGTTGGCTCGTCGTTGACGAGGTAGTCTTTGGAGGAGCCTTTGGAGTACGTCTCCTCTCCGATGAACCTGGGCAGAGTGTCAGCGGACGCGTTGAAGTGACTGCAGATGCTGATTTGCATCGCTGGAGGGGCGGTCTGCTCACTTGTGCGCGGGAAACTTGTTGGTGATGCTATTCTTGACAAAGGTCTCGACGTCTGCAAGCACTGCTTAGCACGCATCCAGAACGAGATGATGATTGCGGCGGCATAATCATGTGTGGCGGGTGATGCACGCATGCGGGCGTGGTTGCCAGGCGGGTTCACCACAGGCGGCAACATGGACCAATGACAGACAGGGCAATAGAGATGAACCATGTTCCGAAGACGGCCAAAGCCCCACGTGCCGTGGCCGACTCGCTAGGCAAGGTGGCTTAGGCGGGCAGCCGTGTCCTTACCTTCATCGGTTTGGGTAACCAGATCAACGGCGTTCATCTTCTCCACGTGGGCAGCCTCGGGCACACTTCCGGCCTGGCAGCGCAGCATGGCGGCGTCGAGCAACATCTTGCCGGCATCCTTGCCAAGCTGGATGGCGAACGCGTAGATTTCGTCCAGCTCTTTTGAGCCCAGATCGGCGGCCATGGTTGCAGCTGCTGGGGAAGGGGATGGGCAACGGTGAGATGGGACGCTTGTTTGGATGGCGGAGGAGACACGAGCAAGCAGGTGCTGTTCGGAGGAGACAACCTAGGGAGACGGCGGAGCACAGTCATCGAGCTCCGTACCTAGGCCGCTAGAAGCCGGCCTGATTCCGCCGGCAGCATCCCCCACATTTGCCTCCCGCATCTCGGTCCCTTTCCGCCGAGCATGGACCTGCGTGCCGCCGCCCAGTTCTGCTTTCCAGCCCAGGACGCGTCCAGTCGATTTTTCGGTTTCGATGGTGCTTCTGTTGGGCCGAGGAAGGCCATGGATGTGCAGCGGGAAGAGGATTTAGCCGGGCATCCGAGGAACAACTAGAGCTCGCAGCTTTGGTCGCGCGCATTGCAAAAGCATCCCACCTCGGACGCCGACACTCGGTACATTCCTGCACGCCGACGACCACGCACCCGCTCACAATGGCCAAACGCATCCTCCTCATCAACGGGCCCAACCTCAACCTGCTCGGCACGCGCGAGCCGCACATATACGGGTCGACGACGCTCCCAATGGTGGTCGAGCAGGCCAAGCAGCAGGCGGCGGGGCTGGGCATCGAGGTCGAAGACTACCAGTCGAACTGGGAGGGCGCCCTCCTCGACCGCATCCACGAGGCCCGCGGCAAGGTGGACGCTGTCGTCATCAACCCGGGCGCCTTCACCCACACCAGCGTCGCCCTGCGCGACGCCCTGCTCGGCGTCGGCCTGCCCTTTGTCGAGGTGCACATCACAAACGTCCACAAGCGCGAGCCCTTCCGCCAGCACAGCTACCTCAGCGACAAGGCCGAGGCCGTCATCTGCGGGCTGGGCACCTTTGGCTACACGGCGGCCATTGAGTTCGTGGCGAAGCATTTGAAGCTGAATTGACGGCCGAAAGACTGCGGCGGGGCCAAACAGACGGGCGGCGCTCCTCTGAGGGCGGCGGACGGATACACGGGGATGCAGAGACTGGATTCATGATGCTGTCGGACATAAGACACAGTCCCACATTGCGAGCTCCCGACCGCCCGCTCCGACGTTGGTTCAATGCGGGGCCCTGGATGGCGGGGTCGAGCGGCACCTGTGAGAACAATCCTATTAGTACGCAACCCATCCTGCTGCTTGCCCATCGTTGAACTCGTGCCAATGTGCTCCTCGCCAATCACCCCGCCAGCAAACAAGTGAAGAAAGAAAAAGCCAGCATCATGGACCCCTCTCAGGTCGACATCCCCCCACTCAAGGACCTCACCATCGACAACATCACCGAGAACGTCCACCTGATCAACTCGCGCTGCCCCAACCCCCGCCTCAAATACATCCTCGAGCGCCTCGTCGAGCACGCCCACGACTTCGCCCGCGAGACGCGCCTCAGCACCGCCGAGTGGACGGCGGGCATCCAGTTCCTGACCCAGGTCGGGCAGACGTGCAGCGCGGTGCGGCAGGAATTCATCCTGCTGTCCGACATCCTGGGGCTCTCGCTGCTGGTCGACAGCATCGACCACCCCAAGCCGGCCGCCAGCACCGAGGGCACCGTCCTGGGGCCCTTCCACACCGCCGACGCCCCGCACTACACCACCGACCCCGACGGCGACGCCGCCATCTCCCACGACCCGGACGGCACGCCCCTCCTCGTGCTCTGCACCGTGAGCGACACGGCCAAAAACCCCATCCCCGCCGCCACCGTCGACGTGTGGGAGACCGACTCCAAGGGCTTCTACGACGTCCAGCACCCCGGCCGCGACCGCCCCGACGGCCGCGCCGTGCTGACGAGCGACCGCGACGGCGTCTTCTGGTTCCGCGCCATCGTGCCCGTGCCGTATCCCATCCCGCACGACGGGCCCGTCGGGAAGCTGCTGAGGGGGCTGGGCCGCCATCCCTACCGCCCGAGCCACATGCATTTCATGTTCAAGAAGGAGGGGTATGACAACTTGATCACGTAAGTCGAAAAACCAACAAAGTGCTGATCCGGACTGAATTGGGCGACTGACCTTGTCATGTGTGTGTCTGTGTGTGGCGCTCAAGGGCGTTGTATCTTCGAAACGATCCGTACGAAACCTCCGATGCCGTTTTCGGCGTCAAGGAAACGCTTCTCGTGGACTTGGAGACCGTGGATGCCGCAACCGCCAAGGCGTACGGCGTCAAAGAGGGCACAAAGCTCTTGACGTACGACTTTGTGCTCGTCAGCGATGATGAGGCCAAGGCGTTGCGCGAGAAGAAGGCGATGGAGGCGATGGAGGCCCAGGGAAGGAAAATGAAGCTTTGGAATGGTCTGCCGGTTCCGGATGTTGACTGAGATCCCCGGGGTTCCCCTCCGGTGGCATGAGTTGGGGAGAAATTGGGATTACTGAATGATATATTTTATTGAGCAGTCTTTGTAGCTTGGATGGTTAAGAGTCTTCAACTATTTCCCTTTTGACACCCTGGTTGCATATCATTTGTCATGACCTCTTACGATATTATTGAGAGAAGAATATCGAAACTGACAAGGTAGGCATATGACCATCTATCTCTCTTGCTGGTGGTGTAACAAGAGACACGTCTCTCACCCGCTGCGGTGTCTCTTCCACGCACAACGGAAAATACGAGACAAAGAACAAGGTGAAGATGGGCCTTCAAGGCTCACTCGATTAAACTATCACTAGTCATCTACTACTCCCCCTCACACCTCCTTGTAGGATAACTAACCCACCGTGATATCATTGACGCAATCCAAGTCAGGTCAGGGGAGGAGGAGGGAAAAAAAGGAAAGTGAACTTTCTCTTCTTTAATTCTTTGCAGTAGCCTCCTCGTGGTGGGTAACGACACCAGGCTCGTGCTCGTCGCCGGCGAGGGCGCCGACGGTGACCTTGCGCTCGCCCTTCTCGATTTCGCTGGCGAGACGGTCCAGCTTGGAGCCCTTGAGGGCCTTGCCGCTCTTCCACGCCGGCACGCCCGTGTCGAAGACCTCGTCCATCTCCTCGAGTGTCTTGCCCTTGGTCTCGGGCGCGGTGAAGAACATGTGGATGAGGGCAGCGCCGTTGAAGGCGGCGAAGATCATGTACCTGTTGTGGCGAAGAGAAAAAGGGTTAGTGTTGGAAAGAATGAGCGAGGAAAGCGTGATGGGGCTTACATCTTCCAGTTGATCGACCACAGGAGCGGGGGGACGGCGAAGGCGAGAACGCAGTTCCAGGCCCAGTTGGTGGCGGTCGAGAGGGAGACGGCCTTCGCGCGGATCTTGGCGGGGTAGATTTCGGACGGGTAGGTCTGCTCGCTGTTAGGAATCTTAAGGGTTGCTTTACACGTCATTGACGTGGAGTGGTGACAGAAAACTTACCCAGGATGTCGGGCCCCAGGTGGTGGCGAACGAGGCGACGAACAGGTAGGAGGCGGCGATGACGGCCTTGGACGCAGCGGGGTTACCCGAGAGCACCCAGGAGATGTCGTTGAGGTTGGGGTCGGTGCGCGGGTTGGGCTGGCCGTAGGCGCCTTGGACGCCACCCGAGATGAAGAGCCAGAGCATCATGAAGAACGAGCCAGCAAGCAGCGCGGGGCGGCGGCCGAAGCGGTCGAGGTACAGGATGGCGGGCAGGGTCAGGGCGACGTTGATGATGTACTGGATCGACGCGGTAAGGAGGGGAGATCCGACACCGGCGCCCTCCATGATGTAGACGACTGTGGTGGGGAAGTGTTAGCTGGACTGCTGACTCGCGAACGGGGGGCGGGCAGGCGGGCGGGCGGCTTACTGTAGTACATCATAATGTTCATTCCGCAGAGCTGCGACCACATCTGGATGGACATGCCGAGGATGACACGCTTGAGCATGCGTGGAGCGACCAGGGCCTTGAAGGAGGAGACGGCCTCCTCACGCTCGAAGCGGAGAGCCTCCTCGATTTCGTGGTACTCGGCGAGCACCTTGGGGTGGTTGACGTCGCCATTGCCGTGCAGGTTGGCGAGAACCTCGAGGGCCTCCTCCCAGCGGTCCTTGCCGGCGAGCCAACGGGGCGACCTGGGGAGGAAGAACATGCCGACGAAGAGGATGGCGCCGGGGACGATCTGGATACCCCACGGGATGCGGAAGGCAGCGGTGCCCTGGTTCTCGGCCTTGGGGCCGCCGTCGGCGAAAGACGCGCCGTACTGGATGAAGTACTGGATCAGAATGCCCCTGGATGGAAGTGTTAGCCGGCGGGTGCGAAGTGGCGGCGGGTGTGCTGCTTACCATGTGATGGCCCACTGCTGCAGCGAGACGACACGGCCACGGATCTCCTTTGCAGCAATCTCGGACTGGTAGACGGGGACGATGGACGAGGCGATACCAATGGCGACGCCGGCGACGACACGGCCGACGCAGAGCAGGGCGACGCCGTTGCAGACGGTCTGCAAGAGGGCGCCGAGCATCCAGATGCACGAGGCGACCTGGATGGCGGTGCGACGCGAGTACTTGTCGGCGATGAAGGAGGAGCTCAGGGCGCCGACCAGCGAGCCGGCGGGCATGGAGGCGGTGATGCCGCCCTGGCGGTAGGAGACGGGGTTGTTGAAGTAGTTCTTGTAGGCATTGGTGCCCAGGACCCCGGACATGGACGAGATGTCGAACCCGAACAGGCCACCACCAAGTGCGGCGAAACCGCTGTGGAGGGCGCGGTCAGCGTGGCACACGGGCAGGTGAGGGCGGGCGGGTGCTTACCAGATGGTGTAGATGCCATAGAAAGTCTTGACCATGTTGGCGGTTGATCACGGTCTGGCGGTTGAGTGAGCAGCAGACTTCGCAGGCCTTGGCGCAGCGAGCTCTGGGTCGCACTGGGGTTGCGGATGGCAGTAGGAACGAGGCCTGTCGGGTCGGAGGGGTAGAGGTTTATTTATGGGCGGTGGGCTCCGCGGCGAGAGTGCAGTGGTCCCGATCGGGCCTAGCGCGGGTGGTCCATCTGTTCAGCCTTTTCTCCAGCTTCGCATCTGCACCACGCGAGATTGCGCTCCGGCCACAGGCACGCCGCCGCCGTGTCGAGTGCGCTCGCGTCCGGCCAGCGGCGGCCCGGGCTGCTTGCAAACGGCGCGTCTTTCGCGCTGGACGCAGACTGTTGGACTGTCGCTCGCACGCTGCCTGCATGCGGGCGAGCCAGGGACCACGGCCGGCTCTGCGCATCGAGGCAGCGGAGGTGCGGAGGAGGGGCACCGCAGGATTGGCATCCTCGCTTGTCGTGCTTGTGACTCTCGTGTGGCACCGCGCCGATTAAACTGTGGCCCAAACGGGGCGCTTCTCCGCTTCTCCCCACAGTCGCCCTGACCTTAATCCAACCTTCAGCCCCGGCCAAGCCCACAACGCCGGAGTAATGCACGCCGTGTCGCCTGCGGTTCGCGCTCGACTGCCAGACGACGCCCATGCGCCCGCGCGCCAGCGACGCCGCCGGAGAATTTGCTCGAGGTCGCGCGCTTCAATCCGCCCCGGCCCAGCACGACGACGCGAAACAGCACCACTCGAGCTCCTCCCACCCGCCGCGCTCGCGTCACGCTGATTCTCCCGTGTCTGGGCCTGTCGCCTGCACGCTAGCACCAGCCCCGGCCGGCATCCTCAGGGCACTGCGCGAAGCGAGCCGGCGAGTCCCTGTGCGAATCGCCCAGCATCCCCCATGCGCGACCAGAGCACGCCGCTGGAGCTGGACCACCCGCGGCAGGAAAAAGCCACACTGCTACCGTTGCACTGCTTGCCGACCCTGCTGCACTCACCGCAAATGGCCACAAAACGCCCCCTTCCCGCCCCTGCCCTGCTCATTGGTGGCCCCCGGGAATGGGCGTTGGCTCGAGCCGCCGGACGAGGCGTCGCCTGAGTCGCCCACTTGGCCAGTCGTGCAGTCTTGGCCCGCTTGCCGGCCTCGATACGTGACTGCAGCAGAAAAAAAATACGGCAGCCCGGCTCATGTGAGCGTCGAGTCCTGCCTGCTGGGCCCCGAGTCTTCTCTGCCCGCGAAGCGACACAGGCGTCCAGCTCCTCCTCGCTCCTCATCTTCCATGCCGGCCGAAAAGGAACACCTGTACCACTGTGGCAGCCAGAGTCCGGCCAATCGTGTTTCACCAGCCTCTGACGAGGTTTCAGCTTAGCACTTCAGCCTCTCGCCCGCGGCCACGCCGAGCCGTATGCCACGAAAACTGCCACCCGCACACCCGCACATCCGCCCCCCGACCGTCCTTTGCCACAAACCTTAACCTATCTTCTGTCCCTGCTCGTGGCCTCGTCCCAAAAGCATCACGAGAGCCACCGCCGATCATGCGCATTCCATCTCCAATGCGCGAGAGACAACCTCGTCCTTCTCGGCCGTCTGGCGCAAGAGGCGCGCATGCAAACACAATCCTTCGCCTCATGCCCTATTCATAGTCGGGGAGCCAGCCACCCAAGCCTGCCTCCGCAAAGCACCCGAACCGGTCAATCCGACCAACAGAAGACACCAGCAGCAGTGGTAACCAGTAGCAGTGTACATGGGCTGCATGTATGCACGCATGCATGCAGGCACTTTGCTCAAGCCGGCCAGGCTCAGGACAGAAGACGCGTTATACCCAACAGGGACGAGCTGCCGGATTCCGACAGCGTGTGTGCCATTCCTTCTCGGCTTTTCTTCTGCTGGCCACGTGAACCCTGCTCCTCCTGCTCTTCCTATTCCTTCTCCCTCGCCTCCACCAACTGACTAGGTACTGTCTGAGGGGCGCCCAGAGCCGGCTTCCCCGGCCATACCCCGCAAATGGCGCGGGCACGCTAACGCACGTCAAGCGGCGAACGCAAATGGGGCACTTATTGTGTACCTAGCCTGTCGAGCCAAAAACCCGGGGTTCTGCGCGTGAGAGCCCAGCTCGGGGGTGGTGGGTCATGCTTATCATCTTTCCTCTCTGGGGGGTGGATTGGTTGCCCGGTTGCCGGTTGCCGGTTCTCGGCGGTGGCGATGGCGGCGTAAGGGAGTGTGAATACGAGTGAGTGTGCGTGTTCTGTTGTGTTTGTTACTATAGTAACATGCACGCTCTTGAGGTGTGTTGTCGCGCATTTGCCCATACGCCAGAGTACGGAGAGCGGGTGCGTGTGCATCCCGTCTGGTGTGTCTAGCAGAGAATGCCGGATCCCTCCCTGGTGCACTGCTGTCCACCGTTGCTTCTGATCTGCACTGCAGGCAGCAAGGTCCCCTGTGATGCGGGCGAACTCGCTGCATTCGTCCACACAATCAGGCAGCAAAAAGCAGGCAAACGAGGCGAATGGCCGGAAGGATCACCTTTCATTGAGTTGCACAAGGTGTTGGACAAGGCGGGCAATGCCTAGTCGGTGCGACGGCGTGCCGCGGAATTTAATATCGATGCAGGTACACACGATGCCCACGCGAGCCGCGGCTGATGGCGAGGCCCGAGGGAAGGCAAGGGGCGAGCGAGGGCTGAACGGGTGGATGGATAATTAAACAGTCTGCTGCCTGGCATTCAGTTCTTGGCCTACGGCTTCGGCCTTTGGGCATCAGTAGGCTGAGGGAACAAGAAGACCATGGATGCGGTGCAATAAGTACACCCTGAATTGTTTATCCGAGCCGAGTGTCTAAGCGAAAGCGGCGCCCGCACGTTAGGCTTTGATCTATCGAGTCCTGTATTCCCTGCGACCATCCGTCCCATCCCTTTATGTTTTCGTGGAAACGTCTCCCATTGGAAGAAATAGTACGAAGCCGCACGTCACGTGGCTTATGAGGCCGCTTTTAATTCGGCAAAGCTTCTTCAGAAGGACCATTTGCCGAGATCAGCAATTCGCTGGCGTTCGACGGGGCTTGATAGGACGGGCCATGGACTTCTCCTCGGAAGCGGTAACATGCCACGTGAAGCACGCGATGCTGGTCGCTGGACTGACATGGCCAGAAATCATCCCACCACCACGACACGCACGCTCTGCCCCCGATCCCCATCCAGGAAGCCTACTTGCACTACAACAAAGTGAAACGGCAAGAGCTGGAGCAGGATGATGATATCTTGTATTTCGGCCGTGAGCTTAGCGAGAAGCAGCGTGACATCTGGCGGCCTGCAGGGACCATTTCCGCTTCCGTTATAGAAAACGCATGCAACGACTATTGGAAAGCAGCCCTGACGACCGATGACAGTCCGTGTCTGACTGACTTCCAAGATGCCACCATCTACGAGCACAAGGACATTCCCGGTAAGTTCAGCTGCTGCAGTTTTCCAACGACGTCTACTTCCCAGTCCACTAAACTCGCTACGTTACCTCGCAGGCCTGCAGATCGTGCCCGGGATCCTGCCCATGGAGACCCAGATACTATTCACATCTCAGCTGATGCACCGAGACTTGGCGGACCCGAAACACAAAATCAACCTCGAGGCCGACTACCACATCCCCTACCCGCCACCACGACCACCACCACAAGACGACCTCCCCGCCTCGTCCTCCACCTCCACCCCCTCCCACTCCTTCTTCACCCTCCCCCAATCCTCCCCCAACCACGCCCTCCACCCCAAACCCCCCGCCGCCGCCTCCTCTCCCACCCGCACCAATAAAAAGCCCCTAAACATGGCCCAATTCCTCGCCAGCAAGCTGCGCTGGCTCACCCTCGGCGAGCAGTACGACTGGCCCACGCGCAGCTACGGCATCACCCGCACCCCCTTCCCGCCCGACCTCTCCGTCCTCGTCACCGGGCTCTTCCCGCACATACGCCCCGAGTCGGGCGTCGTCCTCGTGTATTCGGGCAAGGACTACATGCCGGTGCACAGGGACGTCAGCGAGCACTGCGAGCGCGCGTTGGCGAGCTTCTCCGTGGGGTGCGAGGGCGTGTTTGTCATACAGAAGGGGGACGGGGATGGGGACGGTAACGACGAGGGAGAGCGTGGAAGTGGTGGTGATGGGGAAGAGGATCACGGTGGCCACCGGGAACGGAATGGTGGCGATGAGCGGGAGGACCGAAAGCATGAGCAGCAGCAGCAACAGCAACAGCAGCAACAAGTCGTGCCCCGCCGGCGGCCGGATCGCACCGCTGCCATCAGGGTGCGGAGTGGTGATTGTGTGTTGTTGTCCGGCGAGGCGCGGTGGGCGTGGCACGCCATGCCGCGGACCATCCCGGGGACGTGTCCGGAGCCGTTGGCGCAGTGGCCGGTGGGGACGCCGGGGGCGAGCGAGGAGGAGAGGAGGGCGTACGGAAAGTGGAAGGGGTATATGGGGACGAAGCGGATCAATGTCAGTTGTAGGCAGGTTTGGGATTGAGGACAGCATACCAAGGGTACGTTCGGAACAGTTGGCCGTGAGAAGCATAACGTCGGAAAGGCTTCTCTCACGTTCTGTTTCGTGAAGGACGTCGCCCTGCAGGTACTGCTCTTGTGTTTCCTGCATCTTCACGACCATACGTGCCGCGTTTACAGCCTCATGTATGAGTCTCTTGCTGAACTTGTTTGCCATGACTACCCGTACAGCCCAGGGACCATAGTCACAAAATCATCCAAATCAATCATGGTGGTTTTGCTCATAAATACGGTTGCTCGCTGGGCGTGTGCCATTTCTTGCAAGACCCAAACCCGATGGAACCAGGATCGGCATGCGAGCACATTGATTCGTTCCCAACATTGCTTTTGTCCTTACTGGGTAAGTGTCAATCGCCGTGAGAAGTGTTGAGTGCCCTGTATCTACAACATTATGTAGCCAAACTCAGCGCGGCGATTACGGACCCTACAAACGGGTTTGGTACACGCATTGGCAATGCTGTAGGTCGGAACCGCGTCGGTTCACAATCAAAAGCAATTTCACGCTAGCATTGTGCTTGCATTTTGAGGGCTGATAAGTCTCACCTGGAAAGCTGATCAGACTGTGCTGGGCCAGACTAAATGTTCTTTCCATCAGCCATGTACGACGACAAAACAAGGTCCCGTCCGGCCTAGTCCACATCCGCCTCCCTGTTTCCGTGCTATGTATGTACATATCCCTGCCACTACTGTCGTTGTTCGAGAGTACCCACAGTCAGTCCGCATACACCCTCCTCCCCAACAGCCGGTGCCTTACGAAACTGTTTGGCTGGTCCAAGGAAAATGCCTTCGTTTTCTTCTCTCCATTTTTTCTTGCCTCCTAATTTAACTTCCCTAGATCATCCTGCCGAAGTAGTCCTTTTGCCATCACTCGCACTGAACGCACACCCGCTCAAACCGGTTTTCTTGCAAAGCAGATAGCCACCCTATTCCTAGAATACACGCTAACTAGATAACAGCCTAGCGGAAGATGCTGTCACCCGAAAAACTCAAAAGGAAAGCAAAGAAGAACGGAATCACTTCAGCCGCCACATACAACAGCAACGAAAGACGCACGCGTCCTCGCCCAAGTCTTCCGTACAGGACTATTTTCGTTCCGAAAGAAGGATCAGGCCGAACCGCCTAATCCGAAGTTCCCCTCTTCGCAGCCGCCTCGGCCAGCATCCCATTCACTTTGGCGATCGCCTCCGCCCCGAAGCCGTTCGCGGCGGCAGAAGGCCGTCTGGCGCCGTCGACAGTCGAGACGATGCCTTTCTGGGTGGTTGGCGCGGCGCCACCGACAGCGGGAACAGCAGTACCGACCGTTGTTGGCGAAGGGAGATGCACACCGTCGCTCCGCGGCTGATTCCCGTCAGTCGCCTTGCCATCGACTGCAATGGTGGCGACGGCGGTGCTCGGCGTCTGCCTGTGCTGCTGGCCGCCGACGAACTGCGGGGGTGGGGGATCGTCATCAACGGTCGCGAAGAGGTCCTTGTGCGGGCGCCCGTTGGCCTCGTCATCGAGGATACGCCACGCGCGGCGGAACTCTTCGCGGATGGCGCAGATACCTTGATGATTGACCGTGCGGCCGACATTGTGGTCGTGTTCGAAGGGGTCCTGGATGCAGACGAGGTAGCGGTGGCGAACTTCTTTTTTCTGTTGCTCGAGGCTCTCAGTACGAGTTTCTTTTATGCTGCGCACGTCTGGATATGAAATGGGGAGGTAATAGGGGGAGAAAATAAAAACTCACGCTGGCCTTTTCTACACGCGCCTTCGTCCAGCCAAGTTCCTCTTTGGTGACCATTCTTTCGGTAGGCTTCCGCTGACCGAACGTGATCACGTCGCGCGTCCAGTGGAAGCCTCCGATGCGATCTGGAACTCCAGGGCATCCGTAGTATCGGAAGAAACCTCTCAATAGGGAGCCCAACGAGTCCTTGTTCTGGGTCCACTGTCCGTTACGAGCCTTTTCAAGGATGAGCTCTTTATCCGCAAGGAACTTCACCACATGTCCGTTGCATATGACGTCTACTAGCTTCGGAGACCGGTCTTTCAAAGTGGAGTTGCTCAGAAGTTGCAGATCGGGTGTAATGGGCTCCTCAGGGATACGAATGAGGTAGTGCAAGACCATTAGGGCGTAACCGTAAGACGACAGGGTGCCGTTGTAGGAGCTATTGATCTTACGTGTCTTAGCCCAGGCCTTGACGAAGATTACCATGTCTCGGATGCGCTGATCGCTGATTGCATAGCAGTAGAGTAGCCTCGTATTGTAGATACCCAGATGACCAGCGAAGTTCAGGTCGCACTGGATTCCAACGCCGTCCTTGGGGAAATCAAGTGGTCCCATTGGTTTTTCACGCAGCCATGGTTTCTCAGGACGGGGTTCGCGCTTTTGTTGCTCTCCTTCAGCGCCTGGGTCTTGGCCGTTAGGACCTGGCTGTGGAGCGGCAATATCACTGTTGGCTATGGGCTCTTCCTTAGGCGCAGTACCATCGCCAGCACCCTTGGTCGATGATGTCGCAGCAGAGCCTCCGTTTTTCTTTCGCCTCGGTGCTGCCTTCTTATCAGGCTCGGGGGCGTTATTGTCCTTCGATGTCGGCAACTCGTCGCCAACCGCACCATCTACCCCCTCTGGATCATCGGCGACCTCGGCAGGCTTGTCGTCATCGGGAGACTTTCTGCCGCCTTCCAGTAGAATTCTCTTTTTCTCCTCGGGCAGATCATCCCACTTCTTGCGTTCTGCCTGTAGGTTCGCATGCAATTCTGCAGACGGCTTCTCACAAAATTTGATGATAGGAACGCGCGTGTTCGTGAGGAGGCGGGCACCAAAGCCGTGGTCGAGGAATATCTTCTCCAGAGCGCGGGGTCCGAATTTCTGCGCCAGTTCCGTATCGTCGTCATTCTTCGTAATCACAGCCAGATCAATGTCGGATCCTTTGGTAGCGAAGCCGGTTCCTATGCTGCCAAAACACTTGAACTCAATGCTTGGAACTTCGGGGAAAGCAGCGATCTCGTTTTGGCATATCTCTTGCAGCCTCATGATGAAGTCGTCCTTCTCCTTCAGCTCGTCCTCAGTCATGGCTACCTTGGGGATTTCAACCGCAGCAAGGCTGCCCAGATACCTGCATTGGGCCTGGAGTCGTTCTTGGAACTGCTGCTGATGCTGCTGATAGCGCTGATTCGGATTGAGCGGAGGACCAGGGCGGAAGGGAGCGTTCATGGGTCCACTCGGGTTCGGCCTCTGTAAAATTTGGAAAGGGGGCGGTCCCGGGGCGCCCTGTCTGTAGCCGTGTGGGGGTCCAAAGCCGCCCTGGCTGGGAGGCACGGTTGGCGCTGTAGGGTTGAAATGAGGACCCTGCTGCTGTTGCTGTTGCCAGGATGCCCTGGGTTGATGGAAGCCTCCTCTATGCTGGTGCCACTCACTGCTGCGGTGGCGCATGTGCGGAGGGACATAGCCAGGGCTGGCATGAGGCGACGGAAAGCCATTCTGGCGCTGCTGAGGAGAGCCGTGACCAAAGTGCGGGCGCCCAGGGCCTGTTTGGCCGCGTCCATGGTGCGGGCTGTGACGGTGTTGATGCGGCGAGCCAGTTGGGTTGGCGGCGGCGTCCCGTGGAGGGAGCTGCTGGGACTGGGGCCGGTTTGAACAGCGTCCGGCGCGCGGCTGCGGGCCCGGATGGCGCGGAGAGTGCTCAACAGAAAGCTGGCCATCGGATGAGGGTGGGACGGCGTCTGCAGGGCCACCGTTCTTCAGAATCATGGACCTTAGTTGGTCTTCCAGAGGAAGTTGACTCATGGTTGCAGGGAACGTGGCGCGACGCTAAGAAAGGACGAGCAGGCGCAGGGTCAAAGCTGGAATATTGGCGGGCGAATGAGTGTCGTCGGGTGGCGGGTGTGGATGCGGCCACGGGTGTCGGTTGCAGGCGCTGCAGCTTTGGGAAGGCGCAGGGACTACCGCGGAATTCCGGCCTTACTCACGGGGGCCACGTGGGGTGCAAACTGGAAGCTGGAAAGAGGGTAGAAGGGCGGACGGCATCCATAAGGATGGCGACGGGATGGCTCGGGGCAGCGGCGCGGACTCAGAGAAAGCCGGGGTGAGGCATGGTGGGGAGAGATGCAGCAAACGGGATGCGAGGCTCAATGATGCGCTAGGCCCGCATACGCCAGCCCTGCTAAGTTGCCGCCTCACGCCTGCCCAGCCTGCCCCAGCGGCCCGCCCGGCCGGTCCTACCTTTTCCCGCCCGCCGCATCCCTGCCCGCTGCCAGGCCGAGATCCAAGCCCAGCGTTGCCGCCTCCAGAGCTCCGCAACCTCCATCGACACGACAAAGCCCTTCACCCTCTCGACCTGCCCGCCCCGCCCGCTCTTTGTCGCATCGCCTCCGCGACACGGCCTCTCGTCGCCCTGTCGCCCGTGCGCATTGGCGCGCCTGCCCCAGACTGCCGCTCTGCTCTGAGCCTGCACGAGCTGCTGCCGACTACATCATCGCGCCCGCGCGACCGCACCACCCCAGCCTCCTCCACCCGCCCCGCGCTCCCCGCTGCCCGTCATGAGCGCCACTCCCTCTGGCCCTTCTGGCTCCACGCCTACCGGCGCCAGTGCGAGCAACACCCCGAACGGCAGCGCCCCGTCAGCTTTCCGTCGCCCGCCGAAGCCAAAGGCCAACCCCTTAGTCCAGCCGAAACGCGCCAAGGATAAGCGTGCGTTGGCAAGAAGACCTGCGCCGGCTGCTGCGAAGCCCGGTGGTGCTCCTGCCAACGGCGCCGCCGCCCAGCAGAAGCCCGCGCCTTCCAGCAACCTGTACGAGAACTTTATGCCGCCCGCTGGCGCCAACGTGAAGGCGACGCCGCTTTTCACCACCAAGCGCGCGCTTATGGAGGGCCTGAGGCACCACATCGTCAAGTTTCAGTCGAGAAAACCCATCAATCCGACCGACCAGGAAGAGTTCACCCGCCCCATTCGCCTGCACAGACGCGATGCTGCGCTTGGAAAGTCCGGTGCAGGTGCCGACTCTGGGGGAGAGGGCGAAGAGAATGACGAGGAGATAAAGGAAAGGCTCCGGATAGACGCTCTGAAGGAGGAGAGGCGCCGGAATCGCGAAGAGATACAGGCCCAGATTGCGCCCAAGTCCAAGGGAAGGACATTTGTCGACAACAAGAAGAAAATCCAGCAGGTCTACGAACGGAACGATACTGCCAAGTCCGTCAAAGCTTCGCGCCTGCGCTATGAGGAAACGCTGCCATGGCACTTGGAGGACTTTGACAATAAGAACACCTGGGTCGGTGCATACGAGGCTGCCCTTTCGGACTGCCATGTCATGATGGTCGGGGAGCAGACCGTTAACCCGCAGACGGGCGAGGTGACGGACAAGTACCGCATGGTCCCCATTGAGAAATGGTACAAATTCTCCGCAAAGGACAAGGCCGTCAGCATGTCGGTAGAGGAAATCGAGAGGCAGGAGAAGGGCGGGGTTGCTCTGTCTCGCTGGGCTCTTGTCCCTCAGGGCGAGCCTAAAAAGACCAACGTTCCCAAGTGGATGCGAGAGATGGATGCTCAGAAGCAGCTCAAGCAGATGGCAGAAGACAGCGCCATAAGGTCTAAGGGTCTGTTCACCCGCAGTGGAGGCCGCGATGACGACGAGGGCCCCAAGAGGCGCAGTAAGGATGATGACGACTGGATGAAGACCGAAGCTGCCCCTGATGCCGACATCATCGATTATGACGAGAAAGAGGAGTTTGCCGATGATGAGGAGGGCGTCAATGGTCTGTTCGAGGGCGATGACGAGACAACAAAGGATGCGGAGGAGAAGATCAAGCGTGAACAGTTGTCGGCAAACTTCTTTGCGAACAAAGAAGAGAAGGACGTATGGGAGCAGGAGGAAGAAGAAGCTTTGGAGGCTGAGTTGAAGAAGAAGCTGGAGAAGAGCTTGCGTAAGAAGATTGTCAAGCGCGAGAAGAATTACAACTACGACCTGGATGACAGCGATGCGAACCCTTACTCTGAAGATGTGAGTGGCCCCGTCATCCTTTTTGCGCCTTGCAAGTGCTAACGGGATAACAGAGCGAGTCGGAAGATTCGGAAGCCGAGCGCCAAAAGGAGGAGGAGCGTAAGCGTGAAGAAGAGAAAGTTGCAGCGGAGAAGGGCAAGGGCAAAGCTAGCGAGACCACGGAGAAGACTACATCAGGCACCTCCACCAAAGGCAGCAACACGCCCTCAAACCGTCCAAAGACTGGCGACCCGCTCAAGCTGTCCTCATCGCAAGCTCTTAAGCGCCCCGGTTCTCCCAACCTCTCCGAGCAGAGCGGTAACGAGTCTTCACGCAAGAAGCAGAAGAAGTTCGGTGGAGGTGGCAGTGACAGCGATGCCACTGACAGCGGCAAGCCACTGGCGTCCCGGGTCAAGGCAACAGCAAGCTCGCAAGCGCCAACCCCTGGCGGGAGCCGTGCTGGTAGTCCTGTCGTGGGTGCTACAGGCAGCCGTGCAGGCAGTCCAGCTGCCGGCGCTGCCGGCGCCAAGCCACGTAGTAAGTCCCGTTCTCTCCTCTCCTTTGCGAACCATGGTTTTGGATATATGGTGGGCAGTTGCTTACCATTTATAAACAGCCCCTGCCAATTTTGGCCAGTCTCCAACAGTCGAAGAGATCCGCGCTGTCATTCCTCCCGAGGGTGCCAGCATGCAGCATTTGATTTCCAAGTTCAAGGGCCGCTTCAAGCAAGGCAGCCCGAGCCAACACCAGTTCATTAACAATGTCAAGGCGGCCGGTCAGTACGATAGGAACACGAAGATGATTTTCCGGAAGCCATGAGAATCGAGAGTCGATGTCCTGACTGCTTTGATGGACGATAACTTGTTTTCTCTTCCACCACGTTTACGCTAGAACTGGGGGAGTTAGTGTGCGGAAGACACACACGGGGCGTTCTTGTTCGACTTTTACGGTTTTCCTCATATTTATGGTTGGCTAGGGTTCAGTAGGATGGATATTTCTTTTGGAGCCTTTAGAAGGCGGCTTCCACTTTTCACTACAGAGACCGGTTGGAAGGTCTCACACTCCCATCAAAGCACTGCCTCCCCAGGCTCAGGAGGCCCCCACCATCACTAGCTATAGTGTGTTTACCCGAGTCCAGAAGACTCCTACCACCGGCGACAAGACCTTCTAGGCCCAGAAGACTCCCACGACCAACAGCAAGGCTCCAAGGGATTTTGGAGCAGTGTTTAGAGATGAGTAAAGGAAGGTACCAGACAGTATTTGAACAGAAGAAAAGTGGTTCCGGATTGCACGACTGGCGAGATGATAATTTGCAGATCAAGGTGGACGCGGGTGTTGGAGCTTGTTTAAAAAGCCGGGTTCAGCGAGAGACGATATAAAGAGAAGAAAAGAACCAAATAAAATGGAACAAAAAGTGGACCGGAACCGGTGAGGATAGTTTATTCAGCAAGATGAGAAGTCAACCTATCTCCGTTTCTCTCCCCCTGTCTGCCTCTCTCCCACCCCACACACATCATCTACAAAAATCAACAAGAACAACAACACCATCATGATCGTCATCGTCATCACCTCGTGCACCACTCCAAGAACAGACTATCGCCGCTCACGCTCGTCACCACGCTCCCCGCCTTCCCCATGACGGGCTGGCTCGCGGCCTCCTCCCCCTCGCTCGGCCACAGCGCCTCGCCCTCCTTGGCCGCGCCCCACTTGACCAGGCTCCAGCTGCGCACCTCGGAGCCGGGCTCAAAGGTCGCGTTGCCGTAGACGGCGGCGTCGCCCGACGGCGCGGCGTACAGCTCGATGGACACGCTCTGCTGCCTGTACGGGCCCATGTTGGCGACCTCGAGGAGGGTGACGGAGCCGCTGAAGGGCGCGGTGAGCTGGACGAGGTCCTCGCCCGTGGGCTGGCGCGTCGCCTTGGGGTCGGCTTCGCTCGAGGGCGCGTCGAAGTCGAGGATCTGGAGGGAGAGGGCGTCGGCGCGGTCGCAGCCTGGTTTTTTTTTTATTGTTAGTCTTTTTTTTTTTTGGGTTTTTGTTGTTGGGTTGAGCGGGATGGGGCGGAGGGAGGGTAAAGTAAAATAAAATAAGAATTCACGTACGAGAGTAGTCGGCCCAGATGCTGAACGTCTTGCCGTCGGCGGCGACGGTGGTCGGGGCGGCGGCGGCAATGGCGGCGCTGAGGGCGAAGACGGCGCCGGTTGTGGTGAAGAAGTTGTGCATGGTTGCGTTGTTGATGTACCGAGACCAAGTCGTGGGTTAGGTCGGGAGAGAATTGAGGACGAGCGATGATGACCTGTACATCGACACTTCTTTCCTGCTTTATATCCCTCCGGACAACCCCCCCGTTTCTCCCCCGGACTTTTGTGGGATGATCGCGTTATTCTGCGACATACCTACCTAAGGAAAAGCCTTGTACGGTACTTGGCGTTTGTGCACGGAATACGAGGGTCTGACAGGCATCCGTGCTGGAAATAGTAAGAGAGAAAGCCAGTTGAACACCCTCAAAGCCGTGCGTTCCGTGTTTGGATGAATCGGAAACCCAAGGCACACACCCGTAACGCCGGGTCGAAAGAGAATTGTGCTGCTCCACACTGGAGTCGTTCGAAAAATTGGACGTTCATTACATGCAAGAGTACATAGCCTGTCCTCTAAATTTACTAGCTGGCCTCTGGATCCCACGAATCTTATAAAGGCCGGCCACATGACCGGTCCTTCTCAGATGCGAGAGGACCCAGTGCGCAGATACGAGCAGTGGTATGTAAGGCGTCAAACCTTGCTAAACTTAGACGCAATGGACTAAATCGTTGCCAAGGAAAGTTTTGACATCACCGTCGTACTCTAGAGGATATTAAAGGGGTGACGGCAGGAAACGGCGGGGGCGGTGGACTTTACGAAGGAACCATGACTTTCTCTTCTTTTTAATCATCTGCTAGCTACTTTGCGGTCAAGCTTGGGCCAAATAAAAGACATGCACTACATACGCCCGTCGATCGTGTGCCCAACCTCTATTCACGCTGACTCGACACCAAGATTATGTGCGAGTCGTATCAGGGCTGGCCTCGACAAACAGCTCTCAGATCGCCGACAATTCACCTATAGGCTTGCAGAAACACGGTCCAGTCGGTTGAGATTCGCAAAGGCAGAGGCCTGAGGAACAAGAGCAAGAACCGGGTACCGCTCAAATGCCTCTTCCTGCATCTCCACCTACTTACCAGCTACGATGACTGCTGCCAAGAGTGAAGCTTATCTGGCACGCAAAACACTTCTTCTGTCAATTCACCCTCTCAATCGTCGTCTATCCAGGAACATGTCGAGATGATTGGCTTGACATAAAAAGCAATGAGGGTTAATACGATCAAACAGCTGCAAAAGTCAACACTATGCTCGAAAGCATCGCCATACGCCCGCCAGCCACCACTGATAGCTAAAAACAAGAAAATCCCTCCCGTGACACCTCGCAAAGTTGTTGTGTGCGCTGTGCATGTAAAATTAAAGCCGCCCAAGGAAACGAAAAATTTGTGGTACGTGTCAGCAAAGCGAAGAGAGGCGGAGAGAAAGAAAGCGTAATCAGAATCCCCGTCTTTCTTTCCTCCCCAAACGTCCTATCACTCCACCGAATCATCTTGATAAGGTTGCTTCCAGTTCGACGGCAAGGATGATGTCAGCAGTAAAGGTGCTTACTCGTCTCAACTTCCGCAAATGGTTGCAACGCTATTCGCACGTCGATCTATAACCTGCCAGACATGACAACAGCCCGTTGTCTGTGGTCGCACTGATGGGTGTTACTGATCATGCCCTGAGCTAGCGTGTATAGATGCAGGTGCAGGCACTGTTAAAAAGCCCAAAAGTCAGCGGTGTCCAGGCCTAACAAAAGTTTAGAAACGATTGCATCTCAGGAGACTACGCTTGAAACAGATTGATAAAAGGGTTCCAACAGCGCGCGAGCAAGTAAGCTTGGCGAGGCTCGTCGTTTTTAGGTGGCGAGGCTCGCATGACTTGGATCCCGCCAATCCTAATGCCTGAATCCAGGCATTCCATTCCTGCATCCGCACAATGTTTGAAGAAGTTTTCCAAGAGCAGGATGGTACTTCGAGCAGACATAAGAAACCGGCTCATCCTCGGAGACCGTCAAGCAACCCATATTCAGAATTCCGCAGCCTCCACCATGTTTTGAAAAGACAAAGCGGCGGGCTGGGGATGCTTGAAGAAAAGCCGGTCGTCAGAGCATTTGTGCGGGCCAATCGACTTCAGGTTGCAGATGCAGCATTCGACAAATTCGTAACAACGAAGGCACGACTACAAAAAGTATCAAGCAAAAGAACTTTGCCTACCTGAATTAGCCGCAGCATCCTCGCTCTTCATCCGCTTTTGCGGCGGGTACTCATTGGATGCGGGGAGATACTGAGCCTCCTCATGAGAGTGCTTGGCGCCGTTGTTCAGATGCTCAGTCGAGGCCTGAGCTGCCGCCGCCTGGGCCGCCGCCTGCTGGAGTTGCTGAGCAGCCGAAGCAGACATGGGCGCCGTCGGGGCGGGCTGCTGCTGATGTTGCTGCTGGTGCTGTTGAGGCTGGTGTTGCTGCTGCGGTTGTTGCTGCTGCTGAGAGTGCTGGGAAGTCCCAGAGCTGTTCGGCGGCTGCGGCGACTGCATGGCCTGGACGGGCGGAGGGATCTCCGTGTGCGGGCGCGACAGGTCGATGTTGCCAGGGGGCTCCGGATAGCTGCCTTGCGACTCGAGGAGGCGCGCTTGCAAGCTGATGACATAGTCGCGCAGCGTGTTGTTCTCGGACTGGATGGCGCGGAACTGGTCCGCCATTTGCTCGTAGTCCTTGACCTGGTCCTTGAGCGATTTGATGTACTCTTCCTTGCGCTGGCGGAAGGCTCTCTGCGAAGCTGCATGTCAGACAAAGCGCGCAACAAACCGTCATGTCGCACACACCTGAGCAGCGCGGTTCTGCGCGGCGCGCTTCGACGTTGAGAGCTCGCGACGGCCCTTGCGGCCACCCTCGCTCAGGTGGCCATCGGCGGCGTCGCCGGCACTCATTGGATATCCGGCGGTCGTGATGGAGGGGTCGAGGCCTTGGTGTTGGTTATGGTCGGTGGCATGCGCCGTGGGACCCGGGTTGATCTGGGGCGTGGGGTGCGGCTGGCCGGCGCCGGCGGCGATGAGGTGCTCTCTTAAACCTGGGGCAGCGTGCGGCGTTAGCAGGCGGGCAAGGCAGGCACAGCAGGCACAGCAGGCGGCGAAAGACAGCTGTGGTGACGGGGGATGCAGCTGGTGCAGGTATGGGCCGGCTTACTCATCTCGAGATTGTGCGTGGAGCCCTGCGCGCGTCATGGGTGGTTAGCCCGCAGTCCAGCAGCTGCGCTTGGGGATCCCGGGCGGGCGCAGTCAGCTCCGACTCACCGAGGGCGATTGATTCATCGTGTAGCTCCAGGCGTTCGTGGCGGCCGTCATTCAACCCGCGGCGTGGGACGGCAGCGGGCGGCGTGGGCAGCGGTTGCGGGCGCAGGCTGGGGTGCTGCGCAGCGACGGCGGGGGCGAGGGTTTCGCGCGGTCTGGCAGGCGCACGAGGCATGAGCGCAGGTCGGGGGAGGGCGCGGCCATCGTTGTCGCTGGGCGGTGCCCGTCTCTTGCTTTGCGGACGGCGCGCTTGGGGTGGAGGCTCTAACACTTACCTGGATTGCAGGTTTGATGAATAAGTTCTGACAAAGTCGACGCGGAGACAGCTGGCTTTAAGATATGCTTCGGCGCGGGCAGGGCGGGCGCGGGCGGCCTAGCTCAGGGCCAAGAGCCGTCGGAAACAGCGAACCTTCCGCTACCCGACACGGCCGACAGACAGGCGCATCCACCACGCAACCCTATGTCAGACACGTCGCACGCGCAGCAGTAGCAGCAGCAGCGGCAGCAGCAGCAAGAGCAGTAGCCAGAGACGGCCCATCCTCGCCGCGCGACGCGCGCCCACTTGTACGCGCTCGCGACCCCGCCCGCCTAAGCACGCCGTCCAGCGCAGCAGCGGCGGAGCCAGCGCCTCGGACTTTGCTGACCTCGTCGACTCGAGATATTTCCGGCGTTTCCGAGCACCTCTCCAATCGATACGATTACCAATCCCGGGTATTTGGCGCGCCCTCTCCTCAACAGTTGACCCGGCTATCCCCGTCGACTCGCCGCTGCCACTGCCGCCAGCAACCGCCCAGCTGGCCCGCCGCCTAGTAGGCGCTCTCTGCCAGTCCCGGTCCGACAGGGCGGGTGTGTGTGTGAGGGAGTTGGCTCGCTATTCTTGGCCCTGCTGAGCTGATCGTCATCTCGCCGCGCCGCGCCCGCCGCCGCCTTCGCCTCTCTTGAGACAAAACAGCCGTGCGCAGCGGTCCCAAGTGATGTAGTCATCATCACAGTCATCATCATCGCTCCGCTCTCATGTCACAGTGAGGGAGGGGCACCGCGTCGTGCGACCTCAGCCTAGCTTAGCATCAGGTTACGTAAGGCAACCGAGGGAGACGACGGACTGAACTGACACCGCCGTGCCCCTCCCGCCATGATTATTCGGGCGCTAGGTAATGCCAATCACCAACCCCCACCATCGAGAGAGACTGCCTGCCCACCATCCACACGCCCACACCCGCACACGCACGCACACCAACCTTGCCCTCGCTTCCGCAGCTGCCGTATCGGGATGAGCTGAGCGCCCCGGTGCCGAGGCCAAGCAATAAACTAATCCGCCGAGAAAGAGAGAGACAGAACAGCACACGGTTTTAAATCTACAGGGCTCTGTCCGCCCGATCGACTGTGGTCGGTTGTCCCAGTCGACCACGAATCAAACGTCGGATCACTTTTAGCGCGTCTTCTCCCTTCGCCCACGACGGCGACGCTAGCCGAGACGCTGCGTTGTCAAGTCATGTCTGATATGTTGGACCGAGTAGTGTGCATCGATCAAGGGCTGCTTTCTTCTGCATGTTCTACATAGATCTGACTAAGCCGATCCCAGGTCCGCTGCACCACCTCAGCAGGCAGGCAGCGGTTGGGATTCGATCGAAGTTAAAGAGAAAAAAAAAGGCTGCAACCTGTGCGTGAGGCTGGAATCGTTGCTGGAAATGATAGAGTATGAATCAAAGCAAAATAACGCCCCTTCCCGTTACAATAGTATACATGAAGCTGAATGTCAGAAATGAACTGCCACTAGGGCAATGACCGCCATATGCAATGCATAAGCACAATAAAAAAAAGTTCTGCTTTTGTCAAACCCTTTTACCCCTTTCGTCCGGCCCGTAAACCCTTGCAGGTAATCTTGTTTTGCAATCCTGAAGGACCGAAAGAAGATTCGTCGACTCGTTCGATCATGCAACCACGACTCCCGCGCCTGCCGCGTTTACTCAACTGACACCGGTTGGCTTGTTGTGCCGTCCCCAATTACGGCGAGTCTGCGTAAGGGTTGCTAGGCTTCCGCTCGCGGGAATGCAGGCTCCGCTCACGGGAATGCAGGCTCCGCTGCTGCTGCTGCTGCTGCTGTTGATGTTGCAGAGGCCGGTAAGCCGTGCCCGGCTGAGCGTAGCCCTGCTGTGGCGATCCGTATGAGCCTTGGCTCTGTTGTGGGCTCACGGGGCTCATGTTCTGTTGACCGTAATCGTAGTACTCGCTCATCTCGCCGCCAGGTCCCGAAACACTAATCGCCGACGGGCTCATCGGCCCAGCCTTGCGCTTGCCCTTAGTGCTCTCGCGCTTCAGCGAGCTGCGCACATCTTCCACATCTTGAGCATCCATGCTAGGGCGGCCGATCGAGCCGGTCCGGTTGATGTCGGCTTGGTCAGCACGATCTTGGAATGCTCCATCGCGGTAAGGATCGGCTCCTATGGGACGAGCTGTCAGAGTGTTGATGGCCTGATTCTCCGAGTGGAGCTCAGAGCCCAGGAAGTCCACGCCAGAAGAGGTAGCTGTCGCAGCCTCCTCCTTCTTGGACGGATAGAGGCGACCCTTCTCCTTGCCATCCAGGTATGCCTGGCGACGCTCCAAAGCCTCAGAGGCAGAAACGCTAACAGAGAAGGTGGGCTGATCGGCAGAGCCAAGAGCAGCGTCGTTGCCACCTGGCGGGTCAATCGGAATCTTGCGAATAGCCTGAACCAGGGCACACATGAACTTGTTGCGACGGGCGAGCTGCAGAGCCTCGTTGCCCCAGTTGCTCTTGTGACGACACTCGATTTGCAGTTCCAGCTTGTTGAGCTCAGCAATGCCCCTAACATCGATGTCGATGTCGGGAAAGAAGTCGCGAGCGTTGTCCTTGTCGCGAACAAACTTTTGCATCTCATCCTTGAGAGCAGTGATGTCCTCAAACGACGTACCGAAAGCAACGTAAATGGGGATCCGCTCGCTCATGGCCAGAGATCTGCTCGTGTTCTCGATCCACAAGCTGTTGAGAACGATGTTGGGGATCTGGACTGTACGCCCGTTGGACACCCGCTTAAAGACAGTGAATAAGAGAGAGATGTGCTCGACGGTGAGTTGGTCAACGCCCATGCTGAGATCGACTCTGTCACCGACGTCGAAGGGATGCTTGACGAACAAGAAGATGCAAGAACCGAGGACTTCCTGGCAAGTGACCGAGAACACGAAGGAGAGAGAAAGGAGAGCCGTTCCAGCAGTTGCAAGAGTGGTGACGAAGCTGGTGTTCAGGAAGGCGATGAAGACGAAGACGCAGATGACAAAGACCACGGTCGCCAGCAGGCCATCAAGGACGTTAATGGCTTGATCAACATCGTGCATGCTGGTGGCGACAGCCTTGCGGCTGCGACCCATCTCGGTAACCTGGAGGACCATCTCATCGAGACTGATGTCGCCGTTTCCATCCTTGTCAAGCGCCGCGAAAGCTTCTTCGGCTTCGACCTCGCGGCCAGCACCAAGCACTTCGACAATGTCGTCGTGGTAGAGAGCGTTTCTGCCTTCAACGACGAACGACATCCAAAGACGCTTGGCAAGAGCCTCGGAAGAACGGGGTTTCTCAAGAGCTGAGACCACAATCGAATGGGCAGAGTCAGGGTTGAAGACCTGCTTGCCCGTAATCTCGGAAGCAATGTTGCCAAAAGCGGAGGTGATTTTGTCTCCAACGCGTCCGACATCGTGCAGCAGCCGCATGGGAGTAGCAGAACCGGATCGTGCGTGGCTCTTCTTGGCACCGGGAATGTTGAGCCTCAGGGTATCGTTGATGATGTAATCCTCCTCCTGGAACTCCCGGCAGTAGGCGGGAAAGAGGGCCCTGGAGGCATCGTAGAGCAGACTAAGCAGGAAAGTCTGGCGCTTGTTCTCCTTGATCTTTGCGTTGAACTGCTTGCGGTGGTAGTTGATGCTGATGAGCTGGATGAGGAATTTCTCGACGAGGAACACGCAGGCTGAAACGACTGCGGCGGCCAGGATCTGACGAACAACTTTCTCCCACTCCTTCACCGCGTCGGCGGTGGAAGTGCCGTCTGTGGAAGAAGCCTTTTGCTCGGCCGCCTCGCGTTGGATATCGGGGTTGTGGACCATCAAAGGAATGAAGGTGGCAAGAGATGTGACGGCCCAGCCGACAAGGGAAATGGGGATCTCAAGGGCACGAAGGACCAGGGCATACTTGCGGACACCGGAGCTGACGACACCGGCGAAGATTTGGAAAATCCTGGGGAGGAAGTGGGCTACGATCTTGGCGACCCAGACGGAGAGCCAGACGATTTCGATCCACGTGAAGAACCTGGGGGCGATGATATCAGTCAAGTGCAGATCGCAGATCCGAGCGCACGACTCACCAGACGATCCGAACACCGCCAATATTCGCGTCCTGCGCAGCAGTGGCACCGACGATGATGGGCACCGCAATGCACAGGGCAAGCGGGAGTACGTAGATGAAGTAGCGAGTGATGATGCTGAAGTGGAGAATCTTGAAGTAGATTTTGCCGACGCGGTTGATGTAGTCCTCCTCGCCATCGTAGCCGATCTTGCCCGTGGCCTCGCCCTTGGAGGGCAGCTTCTTGACGCGGCGACCAAAGTGGTGGCCCGACTTCTCGTCTGGCTCTTCGTGGGTGACGACCTTGGTCATGGGGGCGATGCTGCCGCTGCGCATGCCGGTCGAGGGCGAGCGGCTCACGACGGGCTCGAGGGGAATGTCAATGGTTGCGTCGTTGGGAGCCATGTCGTTGGGGTTGTCGCGCAGCGGGTGGAATCCCTGGCGCGAGAAACGGAGCGACGGTGACCTGGGCGACTTGGGGGGGTTGGTGGACATTTGAATGGCGATGCGCGTGGGGAGGGCCGCGGTGGAGAGTCAGGCAGTGTGGAGCTGCGCAAGGACACACTGCTCAATAAAGCGCCCCGAGGTGAAGATCGTCAGCGACGGCGGGGTCTTGGACGTGCGTGTCTTGAACGTCAAGGGGCTGAAGCTGCTCCGCGCGAGAAATGACGAAGAGCGGCCGGTAGGAATGTACGCCGGCGTGTGGTGGTAAAACTCGGGCGTGCGAATGAGAGGAAAGCGGCGGCGAGCAGTGAACGAGGGCCGGCCGTCGAGTTTGCTGCAGAGTGAATGGTGTGAAACGGAAAGGAAAAACAGCGGCGCGTCTAGAATCACGCAGCGGTGGTGGCCCTTTTGCCGCTGCTGGAATGAAGGACTACCTAGGTGCTCGAAAAGCTTGTGAGCAGCTTGTGAGCGAAGGGGTGGGTGAAACGCGCCACCGCCCAGGCACGAGCGAATCCCAGCCGCGCGGGCGTCCCCAGAACGACCGCTAGGCCTGGCGCGGCTACGCCGCCGTGCAGGGTGGTCTGGCCGTTGATCCGCCTGCCGTGGGTTTCCCTGAAAGCCACATACGCAGTAGCGTGCAGCGCGCAGAAAAAGGGGCTCGCTCAGCTGCTCAGCTCGCCGCTTCAGACTTGAGCGCCGCGGCTCCACGTTCGTGTTTCCGCCTGTCAGCCGCACCGAAGGCGTGCCGGTGGAGATGTTGCCCCGCCTGTGTTCATGATTCACTGATCTACCGTGCATCCCAGATCCGGTCTGTGTCGACGATCCCGCCCCAAGCAGCAATAATCGACGTCGCCAAAGGCACGGCGCGGTCGCCGCTGGCCATCAGGAGGTACGTGGGCGTGTGGAGCTCGACTGGCCACTGCGCTTTCCTGCTGCCCGGGTTTGCATGCCGCCTGCCTGTTCCAGCGGTGCGTGCACGCGTCTCCTCGATGCGGCTGGCCCCGTAGGCCCCGTAGGCACCGGCCGTCTCCATTTCGCCGGCCGGCCTTCCCTCGCAACGGCCTCGCAGCCCTTTGGGATTTGATGCAGCCTCGTTCCCCAAATTGCCCGCCCGCCACATTACACAGCATAAAGCGTGCTGGGGAGCCAATTGGCCCGGAGGGCCATGTTTGACGCTCAACCTGCCCATGATGCGAAGCGTGTCGACCTGGCTTCGCGTCTCTCGCTGGTCACGTAACACAGTCCATAGTCACACGCCGATGACGTTGGCGGGCGCTGGACTGCTGGTGGTCCGCGCGAGCATCTGTGCGTCTGCCTCGCTTGATAGCCGATAAGTAGGTACAGTTATCGAAGGCAAGCCTTGCGAATATGAAGATCGCCGCCCCGTTAAGATTGTGTGCGTCTCGGTTCGGCAGTTCCCCGAAAAGCTTTCTGGCCGAAAAGCCGCGTGGCTATGATGCAAAAAATTCATCTGCCTAGCCTAAAGCTTTCACCTTCGTCACGCGCTTCCGCTTCCTAAATTTGGCAACCCTTCGTAGCCGTTGGCTAGGTACCACGAAAATGGCTATAATAACCCGGTCCCAGATGCCGTGCCCGGCAAGAAGACACCGTTGCAGTACTAGTAGTGTCGCGATGCATCCGTCACCACCCGTCTTGCTCTAACATGGTCTTGCACTTGAGCGACGTCTAGATCGCCACCCCGGCGTGAGCCATTGGGACTGCGCCCGCGCTTCAACCCCGACTCCTCTCGCCCGCCTATCTTTGTGTTGTAGATTCGCCGCATTGAGCGAATGATCATAAAAGCTTCCTGTCGACTGAATCTCCAGACGAGAAACTGAGTTATTCCGACATCGGGGCTTACCGAGTGCTGAAGCTTCCACACATGTGAAATCCGGGGTTGCTTCTAGTAGTCCCCGCCACTATGCAAGTAGAACACAGACTAAACCGTCCCATCGACGATTGGCCTCGGCTGGTCAGCCGCCCTGCACATCCGATTGGGAAACAAGACTGCTGCAACATCGAGCAGGCATGACGACAGGTCCCAACATCATGCCAGCGCTGTTTTTTTGGGGCTTGCCTCTACTGCAGAATGACCGTCGATCGGAGAGTACCTACCACTCATGTAGCAGCTACCGGAGTTCGCGTCATCTAGCTCTTCATCTATTACGCATAATGAGCTGTTTAACACTCAAGATCATATCACAAAGTCAAGAAAGCTGCATGGAAACAATGAGATTTTTGTACTAAAAATACCACCGCGGGCTATCTCGGCCTAATCAGCACGAATGGGTGCCAGAAAGAAGCCTTTTCAAGAAGCCCTGCTAGCAAATAGAAAATGAATGGGCCATCACTTCGAGCTCCAATTACTGGAGGAGAAAGAAAGCAAGGGTGAGGATGGTCAGCAAGCTGTGGCTGACCTTGATACCACCGGCGCCGCCATTGAAGACGGTCGGAGTAGGAGTACCCCGTGTGTTGGGCGTCGTCGGTGTAAGAGTGCCCTGTGTGTTGGGCGTCATCGGTGTAGGAGTGCCCTGTGTGTTGGGCGTCGTCGGTGTCATCGGGGGTGTGACGACACTAGACGACAAACTGCTGAGCATGACCGAGCTCATTGAAACTTCAGTGTTGGCTGCATCAGCAGAGCTGCTAGGGTCCGCGGATGCAGCACTGTTAGATGAGAGCTTGTCGCTGGAGACTGCAATCGAAGAGGTCGTGCTGGAGTGAGTGGGCGTGGTGCTGTACCAAATTGTGACGGTCGACGTGCTGGGTGTCGCCTGAACAACGACAGTGACTGTGCCAGCACTACCGCAAGCGCCGGTAGTCGTGGTGGCTATGGTTGTCTTCTCAAGCTCCGACGAGGGATCCAGACCGGAGCCAATGGGAGTCTCAGAAGCGACAGCAGCCTTCTCGAATGAACTGATGACTGAGGTCGAAGTCGTGGTTGAAGTGCTGGACACTGTCGTGGCGGGGCCCTCCGTGCAACCACGCGCAACGAAAGTGTAATAGAGCGGAGTACCAGCTGAGCCAGTAGCCGTGGCAAGGTTGATGCATGAGGACGGAATCAAGGCTGCACTATTAGTGATCAACGCCAGAGGATAAGTACTCTGCGCGTTCTTGACAGTGATTGTAGTTACATCGCCCTCAGCAATCGAGATACTGGTGAGCTCCCGAGCGGCAAGAGAGGCGTCGGAATGCGAAGAAGGAATCAAACCCGAGCCGTCAGTTACCGGTGACAGAGGATGGAAAGTGATTGCATCCACGTTGTCATCCGCGATCGTAAACTCCCGAGCGACAGGAGAGGCGACTGGAGTCGTCCTCGCGGTAATGGGCCCGTACCAGTCAGTATCCGTGTAAGCCATGAAGACGGGGTCTGAAGCTGGAGCCGAAGTCCAGGAATGAACAAAGGGCTCGACGGTTCTGGTAGCGGAACTCGTGATGACGGAGTGGTGCTGAGTATTTACACCAACAGTCAATGTCGTGACGTGCACAGTGACGGTGGGCAGGGGTAGTGTAGCCAGGGGGGTGGGATCAGTGAAGATTGACTGGCTTGAGAACGAATTGGAAGAATCCAAGATTTCGCCGGGACCGTAAGAAACCATCGCAGATGAGACCGTCTCGAAAGAACTGGCAGTGTCCAAGGTTGCGAGCAGGCTTGACGAAGGGTCCGATGCTGGCGCAGTGATGCTGGGCGCATACGAGTCCGACAGCGTGGTGACGCTGGAAGGAATACCCGCAGACAAAGTTCCAGAGTTGCCGAAGTCCAATGTGATGGTCGAGTACGGGTAGCCGCCGTCACGAGCGACGACGTCACCACCCTCGACTTCATCAAGAGAAAAACATCCGGTGTGGCCCATGACAGTGGTACAGACCGGACGATCAGCAGGGCAGCAAGGAACGTTGGTGTACTCATGGGCGGGCCATGCGCATCCAGGTTCATAGGCACTGAGGCAGACATCGGTGGGGCTGTAATGTAGTCAGTAGTATTGAAATACCCTGGGCAAGTGAGGTGAAGCGACTGACCCTTCAGCATCGCCAGCGTGGGCGACCTGGACACCGAAGAGTAGAAGAAGGAGCATGGCCACGTAGGCCAGCGGGTGCGAAAGTGAGCGCATCTTGACACAGGTCAAGCTCGGTGTTGGGGCCGTTGAGCGCGGGAGCTTGAAGCGCGGGGATGGAATGTGCGAATGCGAACGCGGTAAGAGGGGGAGTGAGAAGAAGTGTACCAGCGAGAGTACGAATGAAGGTATGGGGTGCAGAAAGAAAGAGGAAGACGTTGCAGCAGCGGCGAAGAAGAGGGTTTATATCAGCGGGCCTGGAGGTGACGGAGCCCGCGAGCGGACAAACGCGGTCCGCCACCCGCGAAGGCAGTCGCGAATCCGTCGCTGCTTCCACATTAGGTATGTACGCGTTTGTTTGGAGGCTCAGCATAACATTATTCATCGCCAGCTGACAGCCCAACCCACTGGGTCAAGCATTGTCCACTTTGAACTGGCCAGGCTCTCCACTATGTGGTGAGGGTCCTTGTTGGGCATTGTCTGCACATCTGTCTAGGTCCTTTGCGACCTGATCAAACCCCGCAGTCAATCTGCCAAAGAGAAGGCAGAGCAGCCTTTTAGACATGAGCATACGTGGCGCACAGATCTTCACTTGGGAAGAAGCCTTCCGACAACCTATCAAGGCATCCATGAGCTTCCCCGAACTGACACACCTCACCTCACAGTAAAACGTCAGTCTCGCAACAGGGTCATTGAGTTATATCACAACAACTCAGTTCATGAGTAAAGAACGAATTTCACCTTTACAAATTGTTCATCTTCAGGATAATATTTAAATTGCATACAACGTCTACCTTTACGATGATATTCGCTGCGCTTGTCAGTCAAGTGTTCTGAGAAAAGATTGCAGCCACAAACCACAGAAAGTGCCATGTAATATACGGCCGCATAGTGATTGGCGGATCATGCCCAGTTATGCCGCATGCGGTGCACTCGGTATTCGTGAAGTTGTCTTAGCAGAGCCAACAAGCAAGTCCGACCAAAGAAGCTCGTCCCAACTCAATCCTTGTACATATCCTCAAGGTATTCGATCATCTTCCGTTGAAGCTTCAGAAGCTCAACGTCCGTCACCCTGGCCTTAGGACCCGAAGCTGGGCCAGAACCGGCTGTGGCCGCCTCATCGCCCCTTGTGATTAGTTCAGGCTTGACACCGAAGAAAGGAACGCCAAGGCCCTTGAGCTGTCCAGACATGGCGTTGAACATCTCGGTCTGTGCTTTGTGGACTTTCCGGTCATACGCTTTGAGTTGCTCCTCGGTTGCCTTTTGGGCCACGAGCGCCTGTCGACCGCCCCACCAAATCAACTCGTGCTCATGCTGTTCAGCTATCATCTGCAACATTTCGTTAGCCGCATACACCCGCAGAAAAGTGTCAAGGAAAGACCACGTACCTTCTGGACAACGGGCTTGAGGTTTGGGTTCCTCGCAGCAATCTTGCTGATACAGCGAAGACCAGGGGCCCACTCAATGATTGTGGCGGGATCGATGGGAGCCAGTCTAGAAGCTTGTGGCGTGGGCGTGACAGTTGGTGGTGGCGGAGTAGTGGAAGCGTTCGCTTGTTGTCGCAGCCCCGGGTTCTGGCTTCGGCCAGCGAGCCTTGGATCCGCGAAATACTGGCGCTGGGGGATTGGTTGGGCTACAGCGTTGTATTCTGCGTCAGGGGCGGTTCCTCCTGAAGCCGGCGCTTGCAGAGGCGGCGGCGGCGCCAAAGCCGCCAAGTTCCTCAGGACGGTCGCGAGGTCCGGCGGGTGAGAGTTGTCCTGTTGCTCCATGGCGTTCTCGGCGTGGTGGTTGTTTGAGAGAGTGGACGCGGTGTGGAAGTGCCGCAGAAAAGAGCAATCAGCGTGTTACACAAATCAGATCATCATATCTCGTGGCTGGGAGCTGGGTGAAATTTGCACCGCCGACAAGGGCCGCCGGCGCTCTTATGGAGATGACAATAAGATGCAGCGTGGTGAGGTTCGGGGAGCGGGAGGCCAGTGGAGCTCGGGCCAGCTAGACGGTACCCAATCAGTGCGCCTCGCAACCTAAGAATCCCTGCACGAGAAAGTTCGCCGTGCCTCGTATGATGGCGTCGACAGCGACCGCGACTGCGCAGCCCTCCCCACGAAACCGCCCCGCCATCCCCCCCAGCGCCATCCGACTTCCCCGCGCCTAAAGAGACTGCCGCACACGCATTGAGCTGCGCAACACCCGTCACCATGTCGCCTCGCTCAGCAATGGACGCCACGCGCTTCACGGCTACCGGGCCGTACGCGCACTCCAAGTCCACCAAGGTCCCGCTCAACTCTTCGTCCGCGCCAAAGAACGAGACCCCACAGCAGAAAATTGCCAGATTAAGAGCGGCAGCGCAAAAGGCCAAGGGCTCGCAGGTGTCGACATTCGACAAGATCGTGGCGGGAGGGAGAGTGTGGGCGGACAGAGCTCACCGGGTGACGGCGCTGAGCTTGATTGCCATCACTGGTGAGCGCGAAGCCTGGCAATGGCCTCTCTTGTTCTATCTAACTAATCCATCTAGGCATCGCCGGAGTGGTTACCGTGTTCGCCCTCGGGGACATGATTGTTTACAACAGGCGGAAGCGCAGGGAATGGTTCCACGAGCAAAATCAGAAGCATGCAATCTCCATGGCCGAAGCGAAGCAAGCGGTGGCAGCCGGTACCGCAACCGAGGATCAGATTCTGCTGCTCAACAACGAGCGCAACAAGGAAGAGCACGAGAAGAACAAGAAGGGCTTTTTCAAGCGCACAAAAGAGAGCATTTTCGGTGGTTTCTCCAAGGAGGAGGAGCAGGGCGGCCAGCTCGGCGCCATCGCGGCAGAGGCGCGCGATGCTTTCATCAGCGACGCACAAACGACGAAGGATCAAGGCTCGGGAGTGCTGCGGGCGGTGGAAGAGAAGAGGAGGGAGGGCGAGAAAGCACAAGCACCAAGCCCCGGGCCGTTAGACCGCATGGCAGAGGATGCCGCGGAGGCGGCAACACAGAAGTCAAAGAGCTGGACAAGCTGGGTCACGGGCCGGTGAAAAGCAGAAGCCTGGAATTCAACTGTCACGCCATCAAAAATTGGCCGCTCGCCTTCGAGCTTCCACTGTATCATATAATACCTCTCAGATTGAGAAGGGGTGTAGCATAGAGGTGCATAACGGGTGTGTAGCGTCCGGAGCACTTCTGAGCATGATGAATTGGACGGGTATTTAAAAACAACAGGGCGCCGTTTTGTTCTTGTCACTCATTGGTCGCCTTGAGAAGAAACAGGAATATACGTCCTCCTTTCCTTCACTTTCTGCATTGCATTTTCTGTCAGCTTCGTACATCTGGAGGAGTAACTAGACTAAGCTTACCTCCTGCCAGCGATCAACATAGGGCCGCGCAGCAGCATAGATCAGCAGGCTGACAGTCGCAGTGATGAATATGACGACGACTGCTTGATCCTTGGCCGAATCCCTCTCTGTAAGAGCGAATTAGCGCACAAGATTTGCGGGGCGTGGGCGCATAACCGCACGTACGGAAACATTCGGAGTACACATCCTCCTCCTTAGCGCTGTGGCATATAGGCAAATTGTAATCCAAGCAGAACTTCTTGTTGCAGTCGTTGCATGTCCGGCCGGTCTTCTTGGAGTCTTTCGCGCGCGAAAAGATGCTCGAGCCGGAGCTCTTAGACGAGTCGGACTTGGAGGAGCCGGATTTGGAGCTGTAGGGCGAGGGATCGTCGAGGTGGATAATGGTACTGTTGGTGAAGCAGGTGCACTTGCAGAAGGAGGCCGGGGCTGCGCGGAGGAGGGTCAGCGAGCGCAGTGGCGGAGCGCGGAGGACGAGAGCAGTGGCGTACAGGCTGCGTGTGCAGTGGAGAGGAGAGCAATCAGGGCGAACAGGACGAGCAGGGCATGTCTTCGTCCGAACATCGTGTCGAGGGCGCAAAGGGTAAGCTTGCGGGTAGACGGCGGCCGTTGGAGATGATGCGCGCAGCGATGGCCTGTGAGCCCTACCACGCTACCGGCCGCGTATGTACCCCTGCGAGTGGGGAACGCGGCCAAGAGGCTAAGGACCGAGCTCTCGATATTATTTTGTTTCGCCCGCCGCTCGCACACTTCTTCTGCGCCTTCCTGCCGCAGCGTAGCCACACTCAACGAATCGCCGAACGACATCCTGCTGAGCTAAGACAATTGGGCGGCTATGCTCTAGAGTCTGCGCTCTGCTAGTTGGTGGCTCAATCCTCCCGGCGCTCATCACGAGAAACCTCAGCAATGTCCGTTACACAAGCGCTTACAACAGACTCTTCCAACGCCCGCAAAGAGCCCGCGAGTAGCAGCTCCGGCGCCGCTCCCGAGCGAACCCGCTTGCATATTACCCCCTTCACACCGGACTTGCTGAAGGCCTTCCTTCCACCCTCCATCCTACCGCAGGCCTCGCGCATCTCCTACCACACCGTGCAAACTTTCCCCGACAAGGGCTTTGGCTACGTCGAACTGCCCACCATGGAAGCGCAAAAGCTCAAGAAGAAGTTCGGTGGCTCGATCTTGAAGGGACAGAAGGTTCGAATCGAGGACGCGCGCCCCGAGAAGCGCAAGAAGATCTTGGAAGACGCACAATCAGCGGCTGAGGCGGGCCTCGACGAGGAAGATCGCAAGGCTGGCAAGAAGATCAAGAAGCTCAAGCGAAAGGATGGCGTACTGCCGGGCTATGAACTGCCCGATGAGAGGCACGTCAAGCGTGGCTGGACCGAACCTGAGAGCAAGAAGGATTACAAACGCAAGGATAGGAAGGACAAGGACAAGAAGGAAAAGAAGAACAAGCCGCAGCCCTCGAAATACACCACAGACAAGGAGCTTCTGTTCAAGACGAAGCTGCCGCCAAATGCAGTTCCGACTGCCAAGTCGGACAAGGCGTTGGAGAAGCCGAAGAAATCGAAGGTGTCCTCCCGCGATGTTGTCGTACACGAGTTTTCCAAGACAACAAAACATGCCAGCTTCCTAAAGAGTAGTCAGGTCTCGAAGGATGGCAAGACAGCTGCCGAATTTGTCGAAGGCACAGGCTGGGTCGACGAGAATGGTAGTGTTGTGGAGCAAGAGACCGAGTCACAGCGAAAGCGAAGGGAAGCCAAAGCGGAGGCGAAACAGAAACGCGCCGAAGCAAAGGCCGCTGCTGCTGCCGCCGCTGCAGAAGAGGAAGGAAAGAACCCCAAGAGGAAGTCTGCCCTCGAGATAGCAGAGGCCCTTGCGGCGAAGCGGAAGGCAGCGAAGGCAGCGAAACCAGCGAAGGCAGCAGAGCCTGCTGACGATTCTTCGGAGATTGAAGAAAATGTCTCGGACGATCGTTCCTCGGTTGTCTCTACCAGTTCGTCCGACGTGAGCAGTAGCGACGAGGAATCTGAAGAATCAGCTCGGTCGGAGGCTGAATCAGAAGTCGCACAGGACGAAGCCGAAGAATCTTCGTCTGAATCTGAGCCACAAATAGCCCACACCAAGGCAGCTGAGCAGGGTAGCATTCCTCATGGAAATACTGGCGGAGACGTGGAGATGACCGATTCCGCCGAGAAAGTCGGGGACGCCGAGAAGGAGGCGAGAGAAGTTCATCCTCTGGAGGCTCTTTTCAAACGCCCCAACCCCCCCGAGGGAGGCACTCCGACAAAGCTCGCGCCCATCAATACTTCGTTTAGCTTCTTTGGCGGTGGCGACGAGGAGGAGGCGGAGGCGGTGGAAGAAGCAAATGTTCCGCTCACGCCATACACGCGGCGAGACTTGCAAATACGTGGTATGCGAAGTGCGGCGCCTACGCCAGACACAGCGGCCATTGGCAAGAGGTTCTGGCGCAACGACATGGATGACGAGGAGGAAGAAGACGGGGACGAGGAGGTGGAGGACAGCATGATGCAGGTAGATGCCAATTCGGTACCCATCGGGAGTAGGGGACCCGAGGTTACCATGGCACCGGAGCAGGGCTCAGAGGCGGAGCAGAGCGAGTTTGCGAAGCACTTCTGGGAGCACCGCGGCGACTACAACAGAGCATGGAAAAAGCGCAGGAGGGAGGCAATGAAGGTCCAGCGGCAGCGTGAGAACCGGCGGCTGGGGAGGAAGGTTGTCTAGACACGTCAGATAAAGAGGTGGAAGCATCGGGAGCTGGCGCCGCTGTCGTGGAAGGTGACTGCATCGCAGCGTGTGCTAAGTCCATCCCGCGCGGTAAGGCAGGGTTCAAGGATGCACACGGGGAGCCGCATGGCGGGCTTGCCGGGGAGCGAGGCAGGACCTACAGGCATGAGCCCCATTTCGCAATGTCACTTGCTTGTGCCACCTGAATTCTTTTCGCTCACCTGCATATGCTTGTGTGTCTCACTTTGACACCATTCGCAATCCTTCCAGCTGATACCGTGGCGCTATGCATATGGAGAGTTTTATTTGTTTTTGCCGTTGCAGTCAATGACAGCAAGCCTGGAGGAGGCCCGGTGCGAGCGGACCTGGTTCTGCAGGTACGCATGCGGGGAGGGCGGGAGGGGAAGGAAGGGGTGGCGTGTGTGGATGCACCTCCGGGATTAAACTCTACGACGCTCGCCCCCCCATGGCCAGGACAGATCACTCCACCCTGGCCTCTGTCGACGACGATGACATACATCAGAGAGATCGAAATTCCTTTTGAGATAGATTGCTTTTCGACCGCCGCACTATAATGGTGGGTTGCGAAGCTCGCTGCAGCATGTGCCGGCCTCACCTCCCACGCCTCGCTGGCCTCTCTCTCCCCTGATTCCAGCGTCCACCAGCACCGCCTCGCCACCGCTTCTCGACCGCCTTCTTCCTGGGACACAGCTGACCGCCCGGCTCACCTTTTGCATTCCTTCTATGTTCTTCAAGCTTCAACTGTTGCTCTACCACACACTCGTTCACTCGCCTGGCTGAGCCGCCCGTCACCTTCCTTGCCCTTCGACAAATACTTGACCCAGAACATTCTCACCTGCACACTCTGTTTTCTATTGTATCCAACCCAGTACACTGCTTCACCGTCCGTTGGCGCCATGTCGCACGGCCGCCGCTCCTCCGCTTGCACGGCCTCCACCAACACTGCGCCCCCAAAAAGACTCGCTCTCGTGCGAAACCTGGACTCTCAAACATACTCTTCCTTCATCGAGGAGGCCGAAATCCTCGACTTATTTACAACCATGGAGCCTCCCGTTCGCTACTCGTACAAAGCACCATCCAAGCGATTCTACTACGCCATCATTCTGGGACAGCTTTTCCTCCTCTCTACCGTCGTGGCGCTTGTACTTACCATCATCAACTACAACAAAGCCGACGAAGGCAATCGTGTGGCCTATATTGTATGGCTCGTTTTCTCCGCCTCGGCTACTTTCTTCTTCATCCTTTTGAGCTTCGTCTTCTTCCACCAGCGCCGCAAGCTCCGCGTTATGCAAAGCAAACTCCAAAGAATGCAGGCCGAAGCCGAGGCCGACGGCTCGCAGAAGCGTCTCGAGACCGCGTCGTCAGGAGCGCCGCAATTGCGCGCGGAGACCGATCACCGGCTCAGCGTACTGGCGCAGCGTCACTTCGATGCCGCTGAAGGCGCGGCCACGGCGCCCGAACCAGCGCGCCGGCCCAGCGTCATCGCGACAAACGCAACCGGTCGCGGTCGCCAGATGAGCAGCGCGGCCGGCGAAGGTTGCGAGCTTTCTCTATTCCAAACACATCTCAGCAGCGGGAGCGCCCAAGACGGCGTCGCCGACCTCGCCGCCTCCCCATCCTCCGCCCAGACCCCGCCACCCACCTACATGAACCATCCGCTCCAGCGGCGCGAGTCGGCCATCACCCGCTTCCAGCAAGACGACCCGCCCATGATGGACCTCTTCCACGGCCTATTCGGCGCGCAGACCAACACCACCACCACCAACGACGACGACAACAACAACAAAAACCACCAACCCTCGCCGTTCGCCATCCGCTCCCGCCACCGCCGCCCCTCCATCCTCCCCGACCCGCTCTCGCCGACGCCGCCGACACCGCCGCCGCCCTCGAGAAGAAGGACATCCACCATCGACTCGGTGACCCTCCAACCCCTCCCCGATCCCTTCACCTTGCCCCCTCCTACCACCGCCACCGCCTCCTTCGCCGCCTCCGCCGCTTCCCGCACCCACACCCGCACCCGCACCCACACCGCCTCGACCGCCTCCTCCGCCCCGGACTACGGGACCCTCCTCCCAGCCTTCCCGCTGCCGCCCTCGCACTCGCGCTTCACCAACCCGTCGCCCCCGCCGCGTCTGCCGGCGCCGGCGCCGGCGATGACGACGATGACGAAGGCGAAGGCGGAGATGGGGGAGGTAGAGGCAGAAGATGAAGAAGAAGAAGAAGAAGAAGAAGAAGAAGAAGAAGAAGAAGAAAGGGAGAGGACGGCGATGGCGGCGATGGCGGCGGAGCTGCCGCCGTTGAGGAGGGTGAGTTGTGTGGCGGGGCTGGAGGAGCAGCAACAGCAGCAGCGGCAGCGAGGGGCGGGGGTGGAGAGGTCGGCGTCGGCGTCGGTGTGGGGGCGGATGGTGAATGTGGCGAAGGTGGTGGGATGGGGGATGGCGAGGGGACGGGCAAGTGGTAGTAATAGTGGTGTGGTAGCGGCAGCGGCAGCGGCAGCGGCTGGGGTGGACGGTGGCGAGGGTGGCGAGGGCAGCGAGGGGAAGGGCGATGGGAAAGATGGTGGGGAGGAGGGAGAACGACCGGAGAGGCGTGGCCTGGACGGTAGAGGTACGGGTGGCGGCGCCGCCGGTGGATTCCTCCAGCCGCCGAGGTACGACAGGACGACGACGACGACGACGACGGCAACGACGGCAACGGTAGACGATGGGAGGAGAGACTCACACGTCGATCCCGAGCAAAACGACATCGTCGATGGGGAATCCGCACACGGCGTCGTCGTTGACGAAGACGGCAGCAAGACACATGCCGCCCGCCGCCGCTCGACTACCACTGCCCTGCTGCAGCAGGCACATTCAACGCTTCCGCTACATGTGGATGACCACCGCCCCTCCACGTGGTGCGTACCGGTGAACAGCAGAAAACGTGAGAGGAGCGTGAGCGGCGGGTCGAGATTCGTGGAGGAGATGGGGTAGAAATGATGACACGCAGTGCCGGTTCACAGAACTTCCGGGTCAGGGGAAGAGGTAATGACGATGGCTGTGTGTGTGTACGGTGGTGAGAAATGGAGGTATATGTGTGCGTTCTTTTAGCACTTCTTTTCGACGACGACGATGGTAATGATGATGATGACGGAACATGCTTGGGGCGGGCGGTTTTATTTGAGATGTTTTTCTTCTTATTCTTTTGGGCGTTTGTGGGATGTTGATGAGGTCCTGATAATGAGAGATGGGAGTGAGGGAACGAGCAGCGAGGGTCCGCCGTTAGCTGGGGACGATAATTTTTGATACCCACCGCAAAAGCTTGCAAAGTATAGCCCCTTTCCCAGTTCGTCTTTTAGGGAAACGATTCAGTCTCATACTTTCCTTTGGCGGCCGAAGTCTACTGAGTACTGAAAGGACTCGATCTTCTCAAACCTATCTCACCAGGATGATCGTACCTACCTGTCTATGTGGGTCGTCAAATCCAATTCTGCATGTATTTATACAGCTTCCAAATTCATATCTACGCCTAAGGTTTTCCCTAATTGCCCTGGATAAAGAAAGGGGGTAGTGCCCTTCGCAGGACACGGAAAGTCGGGATCTTCCTGTGCGTGGTGAAAACCTACGCATGCTTTCAGATTTAACACTCATCATAACGTCATGGGGTTACCATAGTTCTACCACGGGAGTTCCGGGAACGTCAAATTCTGTGTCGCTAAGAAATACTGACAGGAATCCGCGCTGCGTCAAGCAGTTAGTGCTGACACCCACGATTAAGCACGCCACCCCTTCGAATAAGCTTTAATTCATGACAAAACGCGTTTCTTGGTATTTCTTGTACGAGAGCGCATGCTCATTATTTGTCTGCTTGGCTCGTTCACATGGTTGCCCTAATTGCTTAGTTTGCTTCCTTAGCCTTAGTTGTAACAAAAAGGCATGCATCTTCTTTGTCTGTAGCCTGTGTTCTAAGCCGGAACAAAATAAAAACAGAAAACTTAGTAAGAACATTTCCGTGAATCGAAGCATCTGGCCAATTCCCACGCATGAAAGGCATCTCGTATCTCCAGGACCGCATACCAGCTCACGACCAGGACACAGAGAACGCGTCAGGTTCCACCCAGTCCTTGTAGTAGACACCATAATGACGCCAAAACTCCTTCATGCGGGTATTACAAAGAGTACTTTATGTGATAGTTGTGGATACGTGGTTTCGAGGGCCGAGTTTGACGGGTTACCGCGGATTGCGGGACAAACAAAGTCAGTGTCGAACCGCTTCGCATCGTCTGCCGGGCGCGATGTAGAGGAAATATACGCCACGTCTATGCATTGTCTGCCTGAATAGTCGTCTGCGGGGTCCATTTCGTCAGCCTACTTGCAGCTTGTCCCATGGCACGTAGGATAGAGACTCACCGTCAACCAGTCCATGCCCTCATCCACACCCCGGCCATCGATGGCCGAACAAGCCACTATGCTCCAATTGCGATCCCTCAGCTCGGCGAGTTTGAGGGCCTCGGAGATCTCACCGGCGCCCTTGGCACCGGGCTGGTCCTGCTTGTTGGCGAAGACGAGGAGGGCGGCGTCGCGCAGCTCCTCCTCGCTCAGCATGGCGGCCAGCTCCTCGGCGGCAGTGCCTAACCGGTCGATGTCGGTCGAGTCGATGACGAAGATGACGGCGGCCGTGTTGCTGTAGTAGCACCGCCAGTACTGCAGGCGCCGCGGGAGCGATGATGTCAGCGTGCGCAGCTCTGCGGTGACGGACAGATTCTGGAAGACGGGGTTGCGGGGGAGAAGGGGTGCGGCTGCGCGTACCGGGCGGATCGATGTCTGGCCTCCTAGGTCCTGTGCAAATCATTAGCGGGACGCGGCGGGCGGTCGGATGTGTGCGGCAGCGACGTACCCAGACATTGAGGTTTAGGTTCTTGTACGTAACGGACTCGACGTTGAAGCCGATGGTCGGAATCGTGGTGACTACCTCGCCAATCTGCACTCAAGACGCCGTGTGAGCGAGCTCTCCAGACACCACCCCCCTTTCAGATGTGTGAGGCTCCGCACCTTCAACCGGTAGAGAAGAGTAGTCTTGCCGGCATTGTCCTGCGCGCTCTACGTTAGCTGCGCCGAAGCGTGCAACAGGTGCCGGGCTCGCCACGATGGCGGGCGTACCAAGCCGAGAATTAGGATGCGGATCTCCTTCTTCGCCCAGACCAGGGAGGTCAGCCGTGATACCCAGCCACCCATGGCGTTTGTTGTGGATGCGGGCTGCGAAAAGGAAAAAGTTTCGAGGGAGGGCTGTAGCTATGGCGTCAGGGTCGCAGGCGGCCGGGGAAGGGCGGGCGATGTCTAAGCGGGAGGCGGCAGCGGGAGGGGACTTTGCGCGGGCGGATCGTGGGCGTTGAGGGCGGCGCGGAGAGGGGCGGGCAACGGTTGCTCGGGAGCGCGCTTTAGGAGGCAAGCTTGTTAAATGAGGATGGAATGGTGGACTCTGGGCGAATGGTTGCTTTGCTGGCTTTTGCCTTGTGTTGCTGCAGGTCGGAGAGGCCGCGGTCCGAGCTCGAGCCCTTAGCGGACAAGGGCCGCTAGGGAGCCACGGCGAATCCACCGAAGCCCAGACTCGCTGCCTGATGCGTCGCTCTCCACCGGGCAATCAAAGCCACTCTCCCTGATTAAAGCCGAACAGAATAAACATTCGCTCCCGCCTTCCCAGCCCATCCCGCGCTATGCAATTACGTACGGTACCCAGTACAGTCCTCTATCCGTCCCGCCGCCTATCACTTTCCCCACACGGCCAGCCGTCTCCTATTCCGTATTCATCTCCTCCACCAGCGTCAGCGTCTCGTCGCGACTGCGCTTCCCATGACTTTCGTTCTCCGTCGCCGACGGGTCCAATGACTGTTCAAACCGCCGCGCAACCTCCAGCAACTCGGCATCCATGCGGCTGGCGCCCATAAACTGCACCCCGAAGGGAAGCCGCCTTTTATCGCCCTCTGTGCCGAGCAGCTCGTCGAGAGTATATAGGCCTGCCGGTACAGAAATGGCACACAGATCGAGCACGTTCGCCGCGTGCGTGTACTCACCGAGCGCACTGTTCTTCCCGATAGGGTCTGCCTGCACCTCCTCCACCGTCCAATGCGCTGGAGCGGTCGGAGTGACGATGACGTCGACGCCGTTGGCCCCAGCACTGAACATGTCCTCCGCCTGCCGCGTATACAGAGCTTTGGCCTGGAGGTCGCGATAAGCTTGGACGGCCGTGCTCTGCCGCGCCACAGCCCCGTCAAAAACTTGCACTATCACCGGGTGGAGATAGTTCCTGTGCTTCTCGAGCCACCCGTCTGGATGGTTCGCCAGTCGCTCCATGACCAAAGTCCCGTCATACAACAGCTTTCCCGCCTTTTCGAATGGCGTCCAGTCTATTGGTTTAAGCACTCCGCCGATGCTGACAAGCTTCCTGATGACGTGGTTGAAGATTTTGCGGTAGAGCGGATGGCATGCGTCCAAAGCGTCGGGTGGTGGGATACCGAAGCGGAATGTCTGCCTCTGCGGACCGACCGCATTGATGTGTCGCTCGAGCGCCGTGGGCGGCTTGGAGTACCGGTCCGCCGCATCAGCCTCCTCGATCACCTGCCACACCATGCGAGCGTCGCCTACGTTGCGAGCTAGGACCGCTATGCAATCCAAAGAGGCGCATGCAGGAGTGATGCCGCGCATCGACACAAGGCCTCGCGTAGGCTTGAATCCAACCACGTCGTTGAATGCTGCCGGGATGCGTCCGGATCCCGCCGTGTCTGTTCCAATGGAGAACGATACAAGCTCTGCGCCTACGCTGACAGCGCTGCCGCTGCTGGAGCCGCCGGCTATGTAGTCCGGGTGCCTTGTAGAATGCGGTGTTCCTTCCGGGCTGCGACAGCCAGTCATGCCAGTCCCTAGTTGGTCCATGTTGGTCTTTCCTATGAAGATACCACCGTTGGCAACAATACGCTCGTAAACGGGTGCTGATGCTGATGCCATCCGTGCGAGTGGGGGGCATGCCGTGGTGGTCTGGTAGCCTGCGATGTCGATCGAGTCTTTGATGCTGAACGGAATGCCGAAAAGAGGCGGTCTTTCCCGGGGATTCGGCCATTTCTCCTGCACCGCCCTCGCCGCTTCAAGGATAGCCATTCTGCTCTCCAGATGAATCCATACAGCAGGGTCGTATTTCTTGTAGACTTCGATCTTGCGGCACAGGGAATCCATGACCGCTTCGGGAGATGTGCCAGACCTGTAGGCAGCCTGCAGCCGGCGGATACGCATGTCCCCGTTTTGTCGATATCTCTCATCTTGTGCCACTCGTGCTTCCGATAGAGGGGTCAATGCCTTGAGAACACGTTCAAGTTTGGAAACAAAGGCGAATAGACCTCCATTGAGGTGGACTACATCCAAGCTTCCCCGTTGGAACTTTTCCTCACTAAAGCCAGCAGTGCATTCTGTGATGACACCTATATTCCGTTAGCAAGACGATAACCCATCCAACACAGGGACGGCTTCTCACAGCACTCGAGGCCTCTGTCGCTAGCCTCCCGGATAGTCGAGGACAAGCAGCATTCGGTGCTTACGCCTGCCACCAGCAGGTGGGTGATAGCACGTGCCTTGAGCTTGTGCAGCAGCTCAGTGTTCCAGAATGCGCCTTTTCCAGGCTTGTCTATCACGATCTCGCCAGGAAAAGGACGGAGCTCGTCAATGATGTCATGGCCGTACTCGCCGCGCACGAGATACCGTCCCATGGCGCCCCTGTCCCCAACGGTGGGGCTAGGGTTGCCCTGGGTGGGCACGTGTCTGGCAAGAGCTATGGACGGGCAGTCAGACAGATCGGGCTCGAAACCGACGCGCGCGTGGAAGATGGGCAGGCGGGCTTCACGGCAAGCATCCAGTAACCGCATGGATGGGAGGACGCAGGCCTGGACCGCGGACAGGTCTGCGCCCACGCTGTGGGAGAAGCCGCCTTCCACGAGGAATTCGCGCTGCATGTCAACGACGAGCAGGGCCGTGTGGCGAAAGGGAAAGCTGAAAGGGTACGGCTTGGCATCGACGAGCAAATGCGAGGAACCGGAGCTACTGGACGCCATGGTGGTGGTGGTTTGGGAAGGAGAGGAAGGCTTATGAGGCGGTAGGTAAAGAAAGCGAGAGGGTATGGAGACGGTTTCAGGTACGCAAAGAGTGTCTTAGGGGCCGTGAGGCGTTGAAACGGTTCGTTGGATTTTTCATTTCTCATGGGCCCCAATCAAGGCCTGCTCCGGCCCACTGCTGCTGGCCTGTCCCCGATGCGGGGCGAAGGCTTCGGGTTTCTTGCCAAAGGGTTTGCAGCGCAAGGATGAGCAAAGCCAAGCGCCGGACATTTTCGACTCGTAGAAGGCGTGAGGGCCGTGGGCGCGAGCTGGGACGGGCGCGGGGAGGGGTTGGCCTTCTGGTTGCGGAGATGGGCCGGAGCACAGAGGTCCATGGCCTGCAGGAAGGATGACCGCCCTCTCGCTAACGATGCCTGCCCTCGAGCCCTCTCGCTTCTAGCCCGAGCTACCGCGAGCTTGCATCCCATCTCCAGCCCGCCAACGCGTCAACACCATCGCGCCCGCGCACAAGCACCCCACGCCCAGACCCGCCCCGATCGCCAAATCCAGCTGCCCGCCATGGTTGGGAAGAAGTCTGGCCGCTCCCTCATGAGGGATGAAGGTACGCCTTTCCAGCGCCCGGCCCGCGACAGCTGCCAGCTGCAGCTTTCCTCGTCGCGCGCCCCATTGGCTCTATGTGCTGACTTCTGCCGTGCGGCTGTCAGGTCTGGAGAGGACGGACAACAATCTGGACCTCACCACCTGGCCGCAGGTCAGCATGATTAATCAGAAGAACTACTACACGTCCGTATTTCCCTGTTCTATTTCCTTCCCGCCCTCCTACAGCACAGCATGTCTTCCTCGCACGGATTTGTGGCAATACCAGGTTGCGGCGTACATTCTGGAAACGGGAGGAAAGGGCGAATCCGCAGAGCAGACGTGACCGCCGCGCGAGATCCTTACGGTCCCCACACGGAGACGCCCAGAGTCTCCGTTTCCAACATCCAGCAGCATCTGGTTATCGCATTCCATTTCTCGAGTCTCCTTCTGGTCACGCAGTCCTGGCCATACCGCTCCACACAAAGCAGCCATGAATGGATCTACAACCCAAGGTGCCAGCCAACAGAGGAGAGAGGCTGTGTATGATACCGCGCTGTTCACTGCTATCATGGAAGATGTCTGGCAAGGAGCGATGATTATAGCCTCCGTCCTCCATTCAGGAGCGGCCGGCTTGCTGAGTTCTTGATGGAGACAGCAGTGCCAACAGGCTTCCTTCGCGTCAGGGCCGACTCTTCACACTGTGTATCATTCTCGGGACAGGCCCTCAATGCCCTTCCTGTGTGCTTGATACTATCGCCTCCGTGTTGCCGGAAGAGCGTTGGCCAGCAATGCCCGTTGTCCAAATATAAGTTCGCCAGAAGCCGAAGTCGAGGACGCCCAAACAGATTCGTCCGAAGTCGAAGTCGAAGAAATGCTTCCGGGAGGCCTTGGCCTGCGGAATACAATTCTCCACATCCAAGAATAAACCCGTTACTTTGCTGCCAGTGTTACTCAATTCGTTAGCTGCCGGCCTTTGAGCCGTTCTCTTCATTTGCCGTCCGAGTAGTCTACTGACTTGTTCTTAATTTTCCTAGTGAATATTTGAAGCGGGACGACCAGTTCCTTGCCTACCGAACTCAACAAGAAGAGGCCACAAATCGTATGGTCCAACAAGCACGCGACAAAGACAGAGCTTTGGCGCAAGGCGTCGATGTCAACGAAGAAGAAGAGAGCGGGGCCACCACAGCGACCCAAGAAGCATTCGGGTCCAAAATCGTCGTTATCCATGCCGGCAGCCAAAACCTGAGGATAGGCCTCGCAAGTGATGCTCTGCCAAAAACGGTCCCTATGGTTCTTGCACGGAAGTGGCCTGAGAACGAAGCGGAAGAAGACGGTGGAGAGCCTTTACCAAAGCGCCTCAAGATCGACGGCGAGATGCCAGAAGATCCAGACATGTGGTTCGGAGAAGACTTTTCTTCGCAATACAACTCAATGTCCAATGATCTGAAGCAACGCATGCGAGCCAACAAGCGAAGAGTGTTACCGAACTCAAAAGAACTTGTGGTCAACTACAACAAGAGGACTCCGCCCGAGGTCATTAGCGAGCACAACGATCCACATCGCGTCGAGTGGACGGAAATAGGCTCTGAAGCACCCGACTACATCATGGGTCAAGCTGCGCTGCGCATCCCGGAAAACTCTGTACCCCGCTACAAGCTCTTCTGGCCAATTCGCCACGGCTGGTTCAACGAACAAGACTACAAGACGAAGCAAACTCTCTACTCGGACATCTCGTTGATCATCGAGCACGCCATCGTCTCCGAGCTCGGGCTGAAACATAAAAAAGACTGGCCTCAGTACGGGTGTGTCTGCGTCATTCCGGATCTCTTTGAGCGCAATTATGTCACTCAGATGCTTGACATTCTTTTGCGAGGTCTTGGCTTTGGACGAGTTTGTTTTCAGCAAGAAAGCCTTTCGGCGACGTTCGGCGCTGGATACTCGAGTTCCTGCATTGTTGATGTAGGGGCGCAGAAGACGTCCATTTGCTGTGTGGAAGAAGGAATGTGCATTGAGGATTCTCGCGTCAACGTCAAATACGGCGGTACGGATGTCACGGAGAGCTTTATGCGTATGATGCTGCATGACCACTTTCCGTATTCGGACATCAACCTGAAGCGGCGGTACGACTGGCTGCTGGCCGAGGAACTGAAGCAGAAGTTCTGTACAATGAACGAAGCAGACATTAGCGTGCAGCTCTACGACTTCCATTTAAGAGCTTTTGAGGAGGACACCAGGAAGTATTTCTTCAAGTGCTACGACGAGACCATGCTAGCACCCATGGTATGCTTGCCGTTGTTCACCTGTCTAGATGGGGTGTGCTAATCCAGTCAGGGATACTTCCACCCCACCATATTCGATCACTCAGAGAAACTCAAGGCCCGGCGGAAACTGATCGATCGCTCGTACGACCTATACGATGGATCACCAAACGATCCGCAATCTGCCGCACAAAGCAGCATCGTAGAAAGCGCCGCACCGCCACAACCTGCCGCCGCCTACAATGCGGTTCCCGAAGCCAAGCCTCTGCCGACAATGGTTGCGCAGACCCCAAGCAAGTCCAATCCTGTCGGCCTGGCAGGGCGGCTCAATGAGCAAGAGGGAACACCTCATTCATCTGTGGCTGGCTCTCCGGTGCCTGATGGAGCAAACACGCCACAGCCTCCTCAAGACACACCTGCTGCTGGCACGGCTCCGGGTGAGGGAGGCAGTTTTGGCGCGACTAGCAGCATATTCTTCGACCCAACGCTGGAAAAAATCAAGCAGGCGGAAGAACGCGATAGGGTGCTTCCCATGGCAGGACTCGACACAGCAATCATGACGTCAATTCAACATGGAGCACGCGGAGACGACCGCAAGGCCCGTGACTTCTACGGCGGCATCATGGTCATCGGTGGAGGTAGCAAGGTCACCGGCTTCATGCCCTTCCTGGAGGACCGACTCCGGTCACTGTTGCCTGGCCTTGGCAAGGACATCCTTATCGGTGCGCCGCCCAGAGATTTGGATCCCCAGGTCCTGGTGTGGAAGGGAGGCAGCGTATTCGGCAAGCTGAGCAGCAGCGGGAACGACAGCTGGATATCGCAGAAGGAGTATGACATGCTAGGCAGCCGTCTGCTGATGCAGAAGTGCATGTTTTTATGGTAGACGAATTCATGTGTAACGGGCGCTGGGAGTTGAACAACGGGGAGATGAATGCGAAGGGTGTGGCCGGGAATGAACAATGAATGCATCTTTTTCGTTGCCGCCTTGTGCCATGGATGATGATCGGGGGTGTTGCTAGCAGAGCGCACGGACTCGTGTCGCAACGCAACGACGCGCCTCACCTCGCCGACTTCTGTAGCACCCCCATTATTCCCCCTCAACCGACACGTCCTCCTCTCCAGCCGCACACCATGTCGGGCGGGCGCGTCTACCACCAGGATTACATCGCGAGGATACGATACTCGAATGCCCTTCCTCCGCCCCCCAATCCTCCGAAGCTCCTTGAGATACCGAACACTGGCCTAGCTAGCGGCCAGTACACCTCGGCCGGATTCGCGTCGCGCTTGGCCAGAGAACAGCCGCTCAATGTCGAGGCCGACGCTGAGCTTGGGATGCCCATAGACCTCGTTGGTTTGCCTGGCGTCTTCGAGGGCGATGACTCTGGTTAGTCGCCCTGTCAAGCGCGCATCCACCAGGCTCGGAGCCGCTTTGCTAACAGCAGCGCAGTCCTTCTCGCATCGGACGAGCCCGTGTCGATTCACCCTCATGACCGAGCCCTCCTCAGACCTCTGTCCACCCTGGGCAAGCCCTCATCCCTTGCCGGCGGTGTCAGCTTCCTGCGGCGAACCGAGTACATGACGGCGGCCGGCGGCGGCGGACACAGCGGGCTGCGGGATCCGGGCAAGCGCTTGGCGCCGAAGCGCAGGAAGCAGACGGACGCGGAGAAGAACGAGCCCATCAACATCCTGCGCTCCATCCTGAAAGGGTTCGACATTGCGTACCCGCAGGACGCGTACAAAGGGCCGGACACGGTGCAGAACCTGCGTGGCGAGGAGATCACGGCCGAGGAGCGGCGGGCATGGGACCACCCCAAGCACCCGCTCAACCCGACCGCCAAGCTCGTCGACTCGTACCCCGTCCTACCCGACCTCGAGGCCATAACCGAGACGGGCGGCTACATCGTGGCCAAGTTCCAGACCAACCCGATCGCGAACCAGGGCGCCAGCTACGACGAGCGTGTCGACGCCAGCCTGCTGCGCGTGCTGGAGCCGACGGCGGAGCAGGAGGAGGCGTACCGCGCGCGGCTAGCGGAGCACGAGGAGACGGGCGCCAAGGGCCCGCCCCCGCAGCCGCACTACGACTACGAGTTCTTCCTGCCGGCGTCGGCCGACGCGGCGCGCGGGCTGAAGCGCAAGTTCAGCACCACGGACCCGGACCGCGACGACGAGGCGCTGTACGACGCGGACAAGGCCGAGGCGTCGGGCCGCCGCTGCTTCCGCTTCGACCGCATCCGCTGCTACGAGACGTACCAGCAGACGGGCAACCCGCTCGAGCCCTACGACGAGACGCTCGCGCTGGCGCTGCACGACCCGGAGCCGGAGGGCGCCGGCAGGCTGCAGAAGGGCGCGTATTATTACCCCATCGTGCAGCGGACCTTCATCCGGCCGAAGCGGAAGGCGCAGAGGGCGGGCATGCCCGAGGAGGAGGAGAACCGCGTGGATGTGTTGGAGATTGAGGTGCGCGATCCGGACGAGAGGGAGGTGGCGGATCGGCAGGGCTTCAGGGAGAAGTTGGAGGGTGAGGGCGAGTTGGCGGAAACGTGAGCGGAGGTGCAAATGCGATGGAGAGAGAGAGAGAGTACCGCTCCAAGTCCCTGCGGGGGGGAATTGCGGTCATGTTCCGAGAAAGCTGGCTGGTTGGCGAAAAGTTCAAACAAAAGAGAGTGGATGGTTGCATGATGGGAGCGTTATCGGCGCATTTATCGGAGCTGCTTTAGACGACATGGGTGGGTTTTGGGGACGGTCTAATTGATACTACTACTCTTTCACTTTGAGACATTGTTATCCTGGCCTACGTGTCCCGCAATGCGTCTTCCTAGACGCAAGTCCAAGTTGAGCTGGAGGATAGGTCTTTGTTTCCCAGGTGAGGGTCGCTGGCCGAAGTGCGTGACTTTCCCTCCTCTTTAGGCAACCACACGGCTGACGCCTGGTGCACGAAAACGAAAAGGTGAAAACTTGGGCCAACGGTCAAGATCGAACCTGTGATACTCACTCCCAAGAAACTCTGGACCAGGTGGCTTCTGGGTTCTTTCTTTCCCTTTCGGGCCCTGTGTGTGTCCTCGGGCGAGAGAGGAGGCTGGCTGCTTGGGTCATGTAACCTAGGATATATGTTGCGGTTGTATCTTGTTACTATTGTGAGAGAGATCTACTGTATGTGACTTGGATGTTTGAGAATAGGTCAGAAGGTCTTTGTTCTTACGTGGACTTCAGCACATGCCATATTGGACATCGAATGCTCGCCACCACATTGGCGTGAAGTGCTTCACAGATGACGACATACAACCCTACTATGTGTGTACAACGCTTTTGCTCCACGGTACCTGCCGACCCCCACATCTTGGCTAGAAGGACGTTTGGATGCCGATGCTTGGCGGTCAGAGCGTCTATTCCCGGATCCCAAGAGTGTCCTCTTGACTCTGTAAGATTTTGGTGTGTTCAACGTATCAGAACAACCACGGCACTGCATGTTGGAAGGTCGATTGCGGTCTAGAACCTGTACGCTATGCCTGTATGTGATCAAGCTGATCACAGTAAGCAAGACGCGGGGTACAAAACGCGCACTTTCCTTGCACCACTCCGCCAGCTTCCGATCCTAATCGCCTATCGGCAATCGGCAATATCTCATCTGGGCAAGGTTCCCGCGGAGGAGCCTTCACTAGTCCAGAAAGAGCCCGTGCAATGTTCTTGGCTCAGGCGCGAACGCAACAACATGCCCCAGTTGCCTCGTATCGACGTATCTAATTAACCAACCTGACTCCCGAACTCCGCCTGCCTTGTCTCACCGAGCCCCGGCCTCGCTCCTTCTCCACTCCATCGTAAGCTTCCTGATAGCGGACTCCACCTACAACTAACTGATTGATTCTTTACCCCCATCCTATTTCACTTAAATCATATCCACTTCCCTCGTCTTATACTCTTAGACATTCCGCAACCCCAATTGAAAAAAAGAGAAAACAAAAGCCACCCCGTCACACACAACCCTCGCCTCCGCCAACATGGCCACCCTCCCAACCCTCACCGAAAACACCTTCACCCACAGCGGCGACAAACACACCTTCTACTGGTCGGCCGGACCCGCCTCCGGCCCCCTCGTCATCTTCATCCACGGCTGGCCCGCCAACGGCGAGACATGGAAGCCCCAACTCCTCGCCCTCGCCGCCCTCGGCTTCCACACCATCGCCCCAGACACGCGGGGCTACGGGCGATCCAGCGCGCCGGACCCCTCCCCGCGCTCCTACGCGCTCGCCGAGCACGTGTCCGACATGCGAGCGCTGCTCGCGCACCTCGAGCGGCCGCGCGCGCTCTGGATCGGGCACGACTGGGGCGCGGGCCTGGTGTGGGGCTTCGCGGCGCAGCACCCGGAGCTGGTGGCGGGCGTGTGCTGCCTGGCGGTGCCGTACCGGTGCGTCGAGAACGGCGGGCTGGCGGCGCTGGTGGCGCTGTCGAACCGCGACATCTACCCCGCCGACCGCTACCCGCTCGCGCAGTGGGACTACCAGGCCTTCCACGTCGAGCAGCCCGCGCGCAGCGCCGCGCAGCTCGACGCCGACGTCGCGAACGCGCTCAAGCTGTTCTACGCGCCCGGCAAGCCCGAGGCCTACGGCAAGCCTGCGTTTTCGGCCCAGATGCGCAGGAATGGCGGGTGGTTTGGCGACAGGGACAGCGCGCCCGAGACGGCGCTGGAGGCGTCGCTGTTCGCGCGGTACGAGCGCGGCTTGTTCGAGCGGATGGTGGCCGAGTTTGAGAGGAACGGGTTCGCGGGCCCGAATGCGTATTATCTCAATCACGAGGTCAATTTGGAGTACTGTAAGGACGTCCCGAATGGCGGGGTGCTGCATTTCCCCGTCCTGTTCGTCGAGGCGAAGTGGGATTCCATCTGCGCCACCTCGCTGTCCCGCCTGGCGGAGCCGATGAGGGAGTATTGCAGAGATCTGACCGAGGTCAGCATCGAGGCCGGCCATTGGGTCGCGCTGGAGAAGCCGGAGGAGACGAATGCGGCCATTGTGAGGTGGATTGCGACCAAGTTGCCGCATTACTTCCCGGGCTATTGGAAGACACCGTTTGTATCTAGTAGCCTGTGAAGTGATTGGTACTGGACTCGACATGAATTATGGTAGAGGCGGACGGTGGTTCAGATTGTAGGGATCCGATACAGTAAACCTTTGAAATGGAACTCTTCATCACTTGCTTGGATCGTTCTTGAAAATCACCTTTCGAACCTGAGGGCTGTGTTACTGTACTTCCAGGAACAAAAATATGCCCTTGCTCCCATTGGTTTTGTTTTTTCTTCTCGAAAACCCCCCTCTTGAGCTGAGAGGTCAAGTTGGTTGTCTGTGTCACCCGAACAAGTTACCCCGCCCCTACCATCTCTTGCGAACGGAACACATCCTCCTGAACAACCACTACGCCATGTCATCTTCCGGCACTTGTCCTCAGAGGGTTCAATTGTGCGAAGTGTGCTCCACCATTGATTTCAAAAACACCGCACATCCGGCCGCTCTGTGCACCAAGACACGCTCCGAAGAGAAGGCGACGTCCCCTCTGGAATTCGAGCTGGGCACCGCTTCCGAAATCTCCGAGCGCAGCGGCCGCTGCACATTCTGCAATCTGGTCTCTCGCCGGATCCAAAGCAGCTGCTCTGATGTCCATGGCCGACTTTTCCTTAATAGCGACGTCGACTTCTGTATATCAAATTTCCACCGTACCGGTTCGGATCGGGAGGTCGGACAAGGCTGCTACGCTCATACCACAACCGCTGTCGTCCAATTCTCACCTTGCACTGCTCATTACGGCCCGGTACAGCCATGGGAGGTCGGTAGCGATCTGGGGGCGCGATTTTTACCGATTCTGAAGCTGCAAGTGGCTCCCAAGACACTGAGCCAGTGCGTACAACCCGAACGAGGCCACTCTGGTCCGCCTTCGAAGGAAGATATGCTGAGATCCATTCGGCCGCGGAGAGTATCGCCTGAAGCTGACTCGAGCTTACTCTCTCGATGGCTGCACCTGTGTGAGAACATGCATAGCGAGTGCTGTTCCAAAGGTCTCAGTGACGATCCCAAGGAAACCAGAGTGATGCCCGCATTTGTCGTCGATGTTCAGGGCTGCTACATTGTTGAAACACCCATCAGCTGCCGTTATGTGGCCTTGAGCTATGTATGGGGTGCTGCGACAACGCTCAAACATGTGACTGGTAACTCGGGCGCGCTTCGCATTGCGGGGTCACTTACTCGTATGAAGGTTCCAAGAACCATTCGCGATTCCATGAGTCTCGTGCGAGAGATGGGCGAACGATATCTGTGGGTGGATGCTCTCTGCATCATTCAAGACGATGCAAGAATGCAACAATCGCAGATTGCCCAGATGCACAAGATATATTCTGAGGCGGTCTGCACCATCGTTGCGGCCGTCGGCGACAATGCGGACAGCGGTCTATCTGGGATCCATCCCAGCACCCGCGTGCAGGTCCAAGAGACCATTTCGCTCGCAGATTGCGATTTGACCACGGTAATCTCTCAACATGACAACCCAGAGGGCGGAAGTCAGATTGCGAAGTCAGTATGGATTCAGCGGGCATGGACGATGCAAGAGATGCTCTTTTCGCGAAGATGTCTCGTATTCACCGAGGACCAGATATACTGGCGATGCAGAATGGCCGTATGGCTAGAAGAAATCTCGCTTGAGTCCATGCCAGTCACAGATTTGTCCATTTTGCCCACCAGCCTGGATCATCAGCTACCAAACCAACCACTGCAATCCGAGCATTACTTCCGACTCTATAAGGATTTGTTAATAACCTATAGGCAAAGGAAATTATCATACACCTCGGACCTTCTCAATGCTTTTTCGGGTATATGTTCAAAGTTATCGATTGTGCAGAAGGATGCCTTCTTTTGGGGCCATCCACGCACGCGATTCTCCTCATCTCTGGCATGGTACTTTTACGGATGCCATATTCGGAACAATGCCTGTACAAATGTCATTCTCCGGGATGGATCAGTCAAGAAAACTACATTTCCTACTTGGAGCTAGACTGCATGGGCATGCGAGCAGAACGTGCCGTGGATCAGCTTCTTGGGAGGGGGCCAAGGCGGTCCGCCAGTCTTTCATCCAGTAACAGAATTCTGGCTTTCGGACGAATACGATGCGTTGGTGCGAATCGAAGAGCCCATGTATGCAAACTCGCACCCAGATACCCGCGCGCAGCGGCTGTCATGGATGGGTGTTGATTGGCGGCTTCCGTCAGATCTGGGCCTGGAGCGTCTTGTCGGAGTGCAAAATAAGACCGGTTTCCTTCATTTCTGGACCAGCGTTGCGACTATCACCATTGAGCTTTTTCACAAAACAACTTTCATTTCTACTTATAGATCTCCCGTGCTCCATGTCATTTTCATTGAGTCCAGACCATCGCCAGACAAAGCATCGCTTGAAGTTGGAGGTTCGGTTGATGTGGATTTCGTCGTTGTCTGTCGATGCACTCAGAGTGATGCACAGCCCAAGTTGTTGCTCGTCGCTGTCGAATGGAGAGATGGAGTGGCGTATCGTCTTGGGTCAGCGGATGCGTTCGAGGATAAGTGGACTGCACTCCAAGATAGGCAGTGGAGGTTCATCACTCTGGGCTAAAGTCAATGGTATCTGATATTTGCTGCATTCAAATCCCAAAATCTGATGGATTGCTCGGACAGTCATGCACCGCAAAATTAGCATGTATCACTTGAATAGTGGGTATGCCCACGAGGCCTTACCGCAGGTAGACGTGTATAAGAGCCTTGCTCATCTTAGCATCTCAGCAGTATCAACCGCTGTGAAGTTCCCGCCTGGCACGACGTGGACGTGTGAGCTACTCGCCAGGCGCGTGAGCGGCCGGAGCCATCTCACGCCCGCGTGTGTCGACGCGGAGAGGGTTGTGAGAAAGGAAAGGGGGTCGAAATGAGGTTGACTGGAGGTCGCTGTAATGTCTCGTGGGTTTTTTGCCGGCTGGTTTTCCTTCCAGGGATGTAGAGTTCGAGAATGGCGACGTTTGATGATGCTGGGTAACATGGTGTTGATGAAAGGACCTCTGTAAGTAGTTATCCCGTCCCCAAGAAGATAGGGAAAAGTCAGCTCGTGACACTTACAGCGCCTACCAGCTAAGGCACGCTTGGCCCACCTGCGCTCCTTTATATCCTTCCAGCGCCGCCCAAACTCCTCAAGGCCGTTCTCAAAGAGCCTGTCCCAGCCCGCAGGAGTCCTGGGCCATGTTGGCAGCGTTCCCGCGGCACGTCTCGCGACATGGTCAGCCAGGACATTCCCCTCAATATTTGCGTGTCCGGGGATCCACGCAAGCTCCACTTGAACGCCGATGCGGCGCATGCTGTTGGTGAGGTTCACGACCTCAGCGACCTCGGCACGGAAATAACCGGGCCATCTCTTGTAGTGCCTCGCTCCTTTTCTATAGTCGCGGATCCACTGCACGACGCGGAGATTGTCGCTGTAGATGGCGACGTGGGTGATATGTGCGCCGGCGGGAAAGCTCACGATCTGTAGCGCCTTGCGCAGCGCGAGGAGGACGGCGCTCAGCTCACCGAAACGAATGGTGACAGTTCCCTCGTGGCAGAGCGTGTCCTCGGCCCACTCCCAGTCTTCGTCGGTAAGCTGGCGGCGGTAGACCACTGCTGAGGCACAGTTAGTCCCCTCGGGGCCGCCGCCCTCCTGCTCGCTGGCCTCGTTGGTCTGATGGATGCCCGCGTCCGTCCAGAGAGTGAGGCGGTACCCGCTGTCGTCGCGGGTGTACTCCTCCTTGGCCCAGAAGAGCACATGTTCCAAATTCTCCGGGGTATCGGGCTGCTCAGCCGTGGTCCAGCATTTGCCGTGGAACATCTTGTTGTTGTGTGGTATGAGCGGGACCCCGGCACGGGCGGGCTTGGTGGAGGCGGCGGCAGCGGTGAGCGCGGATTCAGAGGCGGGAGCAGACATGGTGAGGGTAAGGGTGAGGGTGAGGATGGTGGTGTTGTCGTGATGGGTTTGAACTTGGTGGAGCGCAGAGGAGCAGGGATGATGGTTGCTCGGAAGCCAAGGAAAGAAGGAGAGAGCAAGCGCGTGCGGAAAACATGATTTATAGTAGCCGGCGGTGCGACTGGCGACCGCACTTACCGTTGTTCCGGCCATGAGTTATTTGTGGAAGGCGCGAAGCTTCCCTTCGCCATAGTGAGTAGTAGGGGTGCGACTTCCTTTCTTAGACTGTTTCAATTCCTTCACCGGCCACTGTCCGAATCAAGATAGGTCGGAGGGGACACATTACTATGATTAGAGTTTGTTGTGAGTTGTAAGACTCTCGGGCAACTCTGCTATCGACCCAAGATGTCGGCGAGGATGACTAAGTCGATATTGAATTCAAAGGATTGTTGACTTGTAATATGAGTATGTTATGATGCAAATGCGAGGAATTTCCTCAAGTTCGAACGAATACAGGGCGCTCGAGCCCAAGGCTCATATATGGCGCGCTATGGGATACGTTCCGGTTGAACGATCTGAAGATGTCACCGGGACTGCGATTGATCCCGATACTAACCACCAAATAGCAGAGGGCATACATGACTCTTTCTGTCGCAAGCGTGACAAATGGACTTTCACGAGAACAACGAAGTAATGTTGACTGAAAATCAACGCTATTAAGAGATACTTTTACAGACGGTTCCTGGGCAGGCGTTCAGCGCCCGGTTGATGCCACATTGCGGTCGGAATAAACTTCCCCCAGAACCAATCGGAACTTTATTCTTATCCGTAGGGCTGTCCATTCAGTGGGGCCATCAAAAATGCTGTCAAGAACAATATGAACATCTTTGCTGAGAACTTACTCTTAGTGATCGGGGGCTGAGATTGACGGATGTAGTTTTGCAAGGTCGAGGGTGAGATCTTCAGGATTTTCGCAGAAGGGTGCAGACATCCACGGCAGATCTGGATATTTTGCGGAGAAATGATGATGGGCCTGGTGTGCGCAAAGCAGGGACGAAAGACTTGCTGAACGGGGACCGACCGACCCACCTTGCTCCACTACGTGGTTAAAATGATGTCATCAAACCGCTATGAAGTCATTCTGGAAGGCTTGCACACCGTGTCAAATCCACGGGACGCATGCCCAGCTGAATACAAGCAAGGCGTCTGACAGTGTAACAGGGTGCCAGAAAGGCGTGCATGGATCGTGCGTAGCTGGCAGAACGGACAGATCTGTGAGATGCCGTAGGACGCGATCGATGAGCTCGTTGGAGGCAGGCTGATAGAGGCTCTGCGATGTGGGCATCTTGAGAGCCACGGCGTCATCTGCATACTAAAAAGAACCTAGAACGGAGACGTCGGGCAAGTCGTATTGCGGGCAACGTCGAAAACCATCAAGGTGTTGAGCGAGCAACCCCATCGAGCGCCATCTTCTACCCGATTGAACGCGCTGGACATTGACTTGCGGTATCGTTACACTTGGTGCAGACGGGGCCGTGAGTATCGTCCTGTAATCGGATGTGGTGATTCTTGATGCGATCTGACACGATCAAGCCGAAAACAAATCAAACAGGGACGCGAACCTGATCGACGCGCCGCCGAGCAATGCACTGCCTGGGCAAGGTCAGGGTCTGGTGCTGCGGTGTCCACTTGGAATGAAACAGAGGCCACAATGGCTTTGGAATCAGAAAGAGACAAGAAGCTTTCCGCACAGGGAGAGACGTTCGGATAAGCCATGCAATGAACTCCATCATCATCGTCACAAAAGAAACAGCTGAAAGACAAACAACGTACTCAACCGTGCTGGGACGCATTGGAGGAGCTGGTCATGGTCAACGGGGGTTGCCGGGGAGGAGGCATGCAATTCCGCAGCGCAAAAACAAAGGAGGAGGGCATGCCTGCGCGCGAATGGGAACGCGGTGCGTCGCCGCAGACGACCAGCCGCTTTGAGCGGGGGAAACAGAGGCGGCCAGATCGGCGGCGGCGGCGGGCAGGCCGCTTACTTATACATTCCGCGGGCGCAGGGTGAGGGCGGACACGTGACTCATGGTGGCAGTGGTGCCCGAAAAGCATTTGATGTGATTGCAGCCGGGGGTTATACCGGATTCCGCAGCGGGGGCGGCGGTCGCTTCTGCGAGCGTGTCAGCGCGCTGTTTCAGCTACGAGTCGGCGCAGGAGGAGGGCACGAGGGCGGGCGAAGGCGCGGGCGAAGGCGAGGGCAGAGAGGGCGAAGCTGCTGCACGCGTAACGGGCGGCCAGCGTTCAGCGTGTCAGCTGGAGGCTCCTTCTCCGCAGCCGAAGATCCGCGCCTGCGCAGGCGGGCACCCAAGCCGCGCTGGACGGGACGGTATATTGGCGTGGCTTGCACGGGAGGGCTGCATCATGCCACCGCTGGCGGCGACCTGGACGAAAGCTTGCAGGCGCTTGGCGGGCGGCAGGTGCGCAGGTGCGCAGGCGCGCAGGCGCGCAGGTGCGGTGCGGTGCGCGGCGGACAGGGCTGGAGAAAGGGTGTGCGGGCGGCGGCCAACAGCCAGAAACGGCGTGCTGCGCGCGGGGCGTGGACGCGGTGCCTTGTGCTGCTGGCTGTTCTGCTCGTTGCCCGTTGCCCGCTCGCCAGCGCGCGGTGTAGGAGGCGGCCCCGCTGCAAGCCGTGGAACAAAAGACGCAGCGCAGGGAGGCGGCGGGCAGCATGGCGCGCCCACGGGCATCTGGGCACGGCACTGGGCAGGAAAGCGGGCTGCTTCGTGCCGATTCGACTGGAGAAGCCCCTCTCTCAGGCTCAGGCGTGTCCGGCGCCCGCGCTGTGTTGTGGTGGAGCACGTGACCCGGGCTTAGGCTGTGATTACGCCAGGCGGGCTGCCCTCACCAAAACCGCGCGGCCGCCCGCGCTCTTCCTCCCATACTGCGCAGCAGCTCTCACCCTCTCTCTACAGCGCCCACACAATCCGTCGAGACACGTCCCCCCACGAGTAAGTATCGCTTGCGCAGTGCAGCCTCACTCCCGCCCGCCCACCGCAACCACAACGCACCCTTTTTTACGCGTTTTTCTCGCATTTCTGCGCGACACTGCTCTCGTCCTGCCCATTTCTGCCCTTCATTCGTGACTGCTTCGAGTGCTTGAGCCGTCATCTCGCCATCACCGCTGCCCGCCAGCACCCCATACTGACGAGCTACACAGGCGCCCCCATCTCCACACCCTCACCCGCACAGCTCCAATTCGTCTTGTAAGTCCTTCTGCAGCCTCTTGCGACGCGTCTGCTTTCGCCCTGGTCTTCTGCGCTGTTTCTGCGACCGCGCCCGCAATGCGCCCGCCATGCACGCGCACGCCAGCAGCCCACCTCACCCACAACAACAGCTCCATTCTCCACCACTCCTCCCCTGCACCGTCGCTGCAGCTCTGCAGCCGGTCGCATACCCTTGCACCCATCACCTGACGCGTTTGCACGCCGAAATCTGCACCGACGCTCCTGCGCGACTATTTCAAGCGCGCCGCACCCGCCCTCCGTCCATCAACAACCCACCTCTGCACACCTCGCTGACCACCGCCGCCTTGCAGCTTGACGACCACTGCGACAATGCCCAAGGAGAAGACCACCTCCCGCAAGACCAAGGCCAGCAAGGCTGACGGCAAGAAGAAGAAGGGTATGTCCTTCCGCACCTGCTCGTCATCGCGCACTGTAGCTGACATGACCCAGACCCCAACGCGCCCAAGCGTGGTCTCTCGGCCTACATGTTCTTCGCCAACGACATGCGCGACAAGGTTCGCGAGGAGAACCCCGGCATCAAGTTCGGTACGTTGACCTGTTCCTCTGCGCCCGACGCGGCTGCTCACAACCCATGCAGGTGAGGTCGGCAAGATCCTGGGTGAGAAGTGGAAGGCTCTCTCCGAGAAGCAGCGCGCCCCCTATGAGGCCAAGGCTGCGAACGACAAGAAGCGTTACGAGGACGAGAAGGCCGCCTACGCTGCCGTACGTACCCCGCTCCGTGAGCTCTTCACCGTGATGCTGACCAGAACAGGGCGCCGATGAGGAGGACGAGGCGTCGGAGTAAAACTCCTACGCCATCTCTCTTCTGATGTTTCGTCTCTACTGCTACTTGAGTCGGCCTCTTTCCGCGGTCCTTTTTGCTGTTTTGCTCTGTGGCGTTGGCAGGGCGAAGCGGGGTCGTGCGGTTTCTCATAATAGGGTCACCCACGTGTTGCATCACAATTACCGGTATTCCTTGCTTACGGGGCGCGTCTTGCGAGGTTCTGGTCTTCCATTTCTCTCGGGACGGGCGGTCGGTTTTGGCTGGAACAACGATGCTGGGGGAAACTAAACGTGCAAAAGCATGAGGGTCACTACTGGCCAAGCGGACTCATTGTCGCGGATGAAGGCGCTATGAGAGCAGCTTTTTGCTCGGCGAATAACGCCAAAAGCTGCAATCAGGTCAGCGACTAACTACAAACGATGATCCTCTCTCACTGGCTTTCTTCCCTTGAGTTCAATGTATACTAGAAGCTCTCTTGCTATGAAACGAGATAATTTCCTATTACGGCTCTTGGCTTTCGTCATCCTGTGCCTAGCTCCCGGGGCCTTTGCAGCCCCCCCGCCCTCGCGGGATCAGCGGCTACTGGAATCTGGATTCTCAATCGTCCATTCACCCTCGTCCTCTAGATCTGCACATCGCCTCGCGGAGCGGCGGGTACCTGGAGATCACTAGCTGTGCTTTCAAGGGTAGCCATGATGCCGCCGCTTTGTAGCCTTGGGCATCCACGCTCACCCTTGGTCTTGATGATTGCAGCAACCAAGGGCATCCGTTTGCATCATTGTACTTCCGCTCGCTTCGGCCCCAAGCGATGGGTGGCAGCATCCATCTTACTGCTGCAGCGCGCAGAGAGCGAGCGAGCCGCTCACCCGTCCGTACGCGCGCCATCTCTCAACCGGCCTATTATTGTTTGCGAAGGGGCGGCAGGGCCATAAGCACAAGCTGCTACCGGCCTG